ACTATATTATTTTTTAAATTATACTATGTATATGTTCATATGTAAATACATACGTATATGTGGATAAATATTATTACCATCCTTAGTGACACATTTAATACATAGATATTTCCCCTAATGCTAGTGTCTGATGGTGCAAGCAAATTATTTAAATTTTCAGTAAGCTGTACTATCTTTTTACCCTTGAAAATTGTTGTGCATGCTTATAAAAATTAAGTATTTATTTTCTAATTCATACTTACAAGGGAACCTTAAGTACTGTCACCTCTCGATTTCCTTCCACATAACCTTAATCGACAGATAATTTAGTGAAACTAAAACTTTGTTATACAACATGCGGTGCAAAATCGCGTTTTCGCGAAATATTTGGCTAGAGCTGCACCAAAACCTGCATTTTCCCAATGCTTTTAACATAGCCCTAGCTTTTCGAAGGATGAAATGAACTTTATAGAATCTCAATAAATTATATATGTACCCGTTCAGGTAATTTCAGTCCGATCACGAATATCCAAAAAGTGATGCAAAGATTTGCAAATTGCGAAAATCGCAAATTTTTCGCAAATTTGCATTTATTCATTTCTTTAAATTCAACAAAATTTACAAAGTTTGACCAATATAAAATACATTTATTATTGCAAAAATTTGCAGAAAGTGAAGTTCGCAATTTTTCAAATTTTCATTATCATTTTATAGGAACTAAAAAATTATGATTTACATACATGTCCGAATGAAGGAAAAGCTAATTTGTTGAACAACTAAAAAATCACGCTACACATTGCAATTTTTTGCAACTTGGAGAAATAAATATGGCAAATAATAAAACATACGTAAAAATAGACTAGCATTGGTTTTTTTAACTAATTTTCATGAAAAATTGCGAACTTCTATTTTTGCAAATTTTTGAAATAAGAAAAGTATATTTTATATCAGTTAAACTGATACATTTGTTGGATTTAAAGAAACGAAGTAATTCAAATTTGCGGATGCTTACAGATTTTCGCAATTTGCAAAAAATTGGCGCATCTTTGCATCATTTTTTGCATATTCGTGATCGGGCTGAAATTACGCGGACGGGTACAAATATAATTTATTGAGATTCTATAAAGCCCATTTCATCCTTCGAAAAGCTGGGGGCTATGTTAAAAGCATTGGGAAAATGCAGGTTTTGGTGCAGCTCCCGCCAAATATTTCGCGAAAACGCGATTTTGCACCGCATGTTCTATAACAAAGTTTTAGTTTCACTAAATTATCTGTCGATTAAGGCTATTTGGAAGGAAATCGAGAGGTGACAGTACTTAAGGTTCCCTTGTTAGATCATTAAATTCCTGAATGTGAAATCATTAGATTAGCATTTCAAGTCAAAGGGAGCAAAGAGTCGCCATATCACCACAAGCAGCACACGTAGTTCTCTGAAGTGAAAGTGCAAGTTTTAGTGAAAGCATTTAGAGAAAAGAAGATGCAAATTGAATAAAACGAAGCTTTTCATCTCCACATAATGGAAACGAGAATTGAGAGACCCTACAGGCCAACTTTTTCTAGTGTCCGCTTATTCGTTGACATACTTTCCAAAGTCTGCTTCACTTAACGCTTTGTACATTCGTTAGTATACTTACTTTCAATTGTCTTAGTTCGTGCTATGCACAATTACTGCCTGTGCATATATTGAGCTGACGGTCCAGCCAAAAATTGCTATATCATGCATATTCATGCACAAGCTTTTAAATAAAGTATTTTATTTCTGCGCACAACCACGCATCGACCCCGGCCTGTCTGTTCTACAGGTCCATTGGCAAGAAAATCAGACATCTTATTGCTGCGGCAGAGAAGAAAGGGCACTCTTATTATTAGGATGTTCAATTTACGAGAACGAGCAGTCCCACTAATGCTTCACGTGTGGTGAAACATCATTTCCATTTTAGGGACTTACTTACGTACACTGTGGTGGCTTTAACCGCTAAGTGCACCAACTCAGAACAACCAGAGTTTGCGGTTGACGGGAGTGACCGAGGGAGTATGAAGAATATATGACATAGAAATGGAAGAACAGAACAGAAAGTTTTTTTTGTTCTAAAATCCAAAGTGCGAGAAAGTGCTGCAACACGTCGACTCGAGGTTATATATTTTTCTTTGTTTTTGCAGCCGATTTTTTTTATTCTTCATATACTTACGAGTATCTAGTAATTCTTATTCATCCCCTTTCACCGAAATGGTAAAGATGGCATATTTCATATCGACTAGTTCTGCTTGCTTCGCTAATGTATAATGAATATGGTAAAGTTAATATAGAATTTTAAAACTTTTTGAGAAAGTCAAGTGTGTTGCATTATTTTAACCAAATAATAGGAATGAGCTTCACAGGCTATTTACAGGTGCAATACAATTACATATTTAACGATATTTAACTTATGTGAATATCCGAGAGTGGACATAAAGTTGAAAGCCGGCTTGAATTGATCTGTGCTTGAGTTAATGAAAAAGGGGCCGTTAAGTATTACTGCATCAATTTAGTCTTTTTTCTTCCCACTTTCCCATGGGAAGTATAACATGGCGTGCATCCATGATTTCGATGGCATAATACTTGAACAGCCCCAAACTACAGAGAAGTAGAATTAAGGAGAGGCGAACGTCTTCAGCTTCAAAGTGTGCGAGAAAGGCAGCCACATGATGATGTTGCAAAGAGTTTCAAGGGTTTTCTTGGAAGTTATTGTTCCTCTTATTCCTCTGTTTCACCATCATCAACAACCTGCTTCCTCCCTCAACATCCAACTCAATCCACACCCGAAACACAGGAGAAGGCGAAACGCAAAAACAGAGGTTGCATCGTCTCTTCTTCGGAAGGAAACTCGTAAGAACAAAAGTAAGCTCATCTACATCGACAATGAAGTCAGATTCAAAAGTTGGGAACTGAAAATCCGCTATGCCAGCACATTCTTAATATCGACGGTAATTTGGAATTTGCGAAAAGACACGTTACGAATCTTACCAGCCAGTCTGATCTAGATTGATCTTAAAAGGCACACAATTACCTTTGGGGAGAGCTTAGTGCAATTTTATTTTGCAATTTTTGAAATGTGCAAAACGAGAGAAGCTCCCAGAGACTTAGCACGTAAGTAGTTTATGTAACTGGGTGAGAAACGCGGTGAGAAAGAATATGCCTGTGGTGGAGACTATGTAGTTCGTATTTAGTTGGTGAAGTGGTAGTAGTGTTGGGGAAATGGCCGGGGAAAGGTTACTGAAGTTGTGGAGACTGTGGAGTTGAGAGAATAGAAAACTCGTTCTTTCTCTCAGAATAACAATGGAAGGACGCTTCATAAACTTTGAATGACCTCCTGGCTGGTGAGCCCTTTCGCAAGAAAAACTAATAAGTGACAAAATTCTCAAAATTCTCGCTCTCGGAAATTTTTGACAGATATTAATGTAAATTTATTTTGCTACGGCTCAATGGAGCAAGACACGATTTAAGAGCTTCCCATCCTACAGCGACCGAGCAAACAAGCCGGAGGAGGAGAAGGAAGGCGACAGACAGGAAACTCTCACCAATATATATAATATATAAATATATGGATGTACACATATACAACCTCCACAGAAGTAGCAGTGGTGCACCCTCCTTTCGCTTTCGCTTTCGCGACTTTCGCTTAACTTTTTCACTGTCTCTCAAGTGCGCCTTGTTCTATCCTACGCTTCCATTCCAAATGCGGTTTTTGTATTGCTTTTAGACATTGACTTATGTGTTCTGAATTCCACGCTTTTTTTTGTAGCCTCCAGTTCTCCTTACATGCAGGTGGGTGAAGGTTCGTGCTCAGATAGTAACATGCACGCGTATATGTACGTGTACTGATACTTACTTCAGCTTATCACTCTTTCATAACTGCTATATTCCCATATATGGATGACCATTTTTGACTCAGGCAGGTCTATCTATGTACTTATTAAGTGCTAACATTGTGCATCCGTACATACGGGGAGAGTAGCTTCTACATTAGCATGCGTTATTTAGTGTGTTTCAGAGAAAGTGGTGAAAGCAGTGCTCAGTTCTGTTGAGTCACCCAAGATTGGTGACTCAAACATCTAACAAGAGGACAGACTATGTTCTGGATGTAACACACCATCATTATTCCCGTCTTCAATCTTGAGCCTTTGTCAATCCTGCACATTATTTGAATTAAAGGAGGAATAAGACCTGGTGGATGTGAAGATGTACTTTCTCTCTGACTTTCTCCCAGTAGTCAAAATGCTTCTTTCAATAAATTTTCAATCCATTTTCATTTCTCGACCCTGTGCACGCAGTCCGCTCCAGTGTAGCGGGAGAGAAAGGTCAGGAAAACGTTAGAGTAAAATTTAAAGAGAGTGACATGGCAGGGGGAAAGGCAGCGAGCACACAATGCGCGTTTGAATATGAGAATGATGATTCTTGGAGAGAGGTTGGATGGATGCATACCATTATCTGTGTGAGATGAAGGAGGACGGACGGAAGCTCCCGGTTTGTCTTTGTCTTGACTTTGTCTTCAAAAGTTTTTCTACAGAAGATGATGAAGGGAACAAAAGGCTCCTGACATCGTATTATATTCAACCCAGCCCAACTTTTATAATAATCGACTTCGTCAGTGGCATGAAGAATGGGTGGATGGATGGATGGATGGATGGATAGCTAGACTACTTCAAACTTGAGCAACCAACTAACTAAGCAGCAAGCACCCGATTCATTCGTTCATCGAGATGGAAAATAAATTGAGGAAATATGCACTCATCGAGACAAAGACAATGGAATAATAATACAGTAGTCAGTTCAGTGCTCGGAAACTAAGGATGTGTTCCCGCAGTGCCTTTTGACGTCAAGCTATTGTTGTGTAAGTTCAATATTTATATTCTCTTGTTGAGAATGATTACCAATTCGTTAATTAAAATGCATTTCATTTTAATTGAACTCTGTGATGAGAGGAATACAGACTGCGAGTTTGATTAATTAATATATTCGCTTTTTTGTTAGCACAATTCACTCCAATCCAATCACCAAACTAATAATTTTATTCATAGAAAAATAATATATGACAAATACTTGCGTTACAATTACTAAAAATGTTAAAGCTACAATGCATTTCTCTTAAACATCCGTTTAAATAGTGTATGTACTTATATAAAACAATATAAAACACGTATTTTTTATACCCAGATAAGTAGCACCCATCCCAAAGCCTACATACATCATACACAGATATACATACAAATTTATTTTTCATCGATGTAATGGTCTTCAATCTTCTGTAAACTTCTGTGAACCTGAAAAAATCAAGCAAAATCCACATCAACTCATGTATACTAAATTATCACTATATAACAAAATATAGAAAATGACAAATACTCTTATATACAAACGTAGATTTAATTGGCATGGCTAGTAACACAACGATTATCCATTTGATCTCACTCATTTATGGGAGATTGAGACTTTATCCTAACAAATATACGACTTCATTCATTATCCATCATTTACGTAACAATTTCCTGGTTGGTCCAGATCTGTTTATGTGTGGGTACAGATGGAAAAGCTGAAATATTCTGTCTGATTTACCTACTCAGAAAGTAGTGGGCCAGTTAATTCCGTGCCACTTTCCATTCTGCTAGACACTATGAGTACTCAATCTCCACATCAAAACTCATCTTCTATTTCCAATTAAACGAGCTTTTTCGACTAGTATTATCCGTGTAGCATATAGTCGCCCTGTACACACATCATCAACTCCTATCTGATCTCGCTTATTACATTTTCTCGTCTTCAGTCTAGTAAAAGTCAGTCAACCAACCAAACTCTCATTTGCCTATTCCAGGATACAATAAGTATTAATTCTACGGATATGCTTTTACTCATCCTTGGTTGCACTAATGCAGAAGCAGCATGGATGGATTTGGGTGCTGCTGGTGATCCATGAAGACGATGATGATTACCAACCAAGAAGCTCGCTTGTAAAAAGGGGGAGGTATACATTCACCAAGTGCACCAGAAAAGCTGCAGAGGAAAAGAATCAAGAAAAACTTGATCCTCTTCTCTCTTCCTCCTCCCTCATAATAATCATCATCATTTTCATCTCAGCTTCCTCTTCAAGAGAGAAAGCAGCTAAGCTCTAAACATGGGAGCAGTTTTTCGTCGTCTGTATTCGCTTTGTGTCCTTACTTTTATATGTAATATCTGTCCCGACATGGAAGAAAGGTACACGCGATAAGTAAATATCTCATCCGGCGCCCTTACTTTCATCTTCATAATCATGATCATGTTTCAAGTCAAGATTTTTGTGGGCTTAAGACCAATCAATATGTAATACAGCAAGGAAGCAAAATTTGATAAGCATCTTGACATGGGTGTAAATTACGTACACATGTAGATGCTCATTAGAAAGGAGGATATTCTTCGAATTAAAAACATACATACAGTTATTCATACGTATACATTTCATAATTTGTAGGCTGACGGGCGAAAAAAGATAGTGATTAATGTCAACCATCTATTTATTTCAAATGTTCCCATAAAAGGATCAAATATTTTAATTATTTAATTCACCACTGTTTCAGCAATAATAATTGTGATCTCGTTCTATAAACTCAAATTTGTGCAGGATTTAAAACATTCTTCTGAACTTGGTGTTGAATATAGAAATCGAGAAAGAGAAAGCGAGCGAGCGAAAGAAAGAGAAAGCAAAAGTTGAAAAACATGGGATGAGATGAACAGGAAGTATGACAGATATCAGGTGCAAGCGACACACTCGTCGTCATAAACGAGTTACCTTGCAGTGCAAGCCTGGCACTAACAAGCCATGGACAACCCTTGGTTTCCTTTCCCTTTCCTGCAGTTAAGGTAGAGATACTATTGGTGAAACTACTACTACTGGTGATAAGTACGTCTCCCAAGTCATATTCCTTTTCAAAAGCATTTCAAAACCCATGTACAAACCATGCACGTACATCCATAGGGTCAGACCATTAGGAGTCAGGTGAACAAAGAAATTACTAAAGTTGCAAATAGTTAATACAAATTTCCAGAATACGGACCAAAAGCGCCAGAGCAATCTCCATTTTAATAATAATTAAATCACAGGATATGCAGCAATTACAAAGAGTGAGTATAAATTAAACGGAATAATAATTTTTCATAGCTCCACTCAAGGTTCAAAAGGTTAATGTATAGTCACATTCTGGTAAATCTTGGACCATATAGTTACTAATTAATTACGGGTAACTTATTTCATGAAAAGAAGACGGTCGTGGATAAAAGAGGACAAAACATGTAAACTTCGTCTACACACCCACTCATTTATACGTTCTTCAATGAATAGCCCAACCCAACCATATACTTCTCATCATCAAACCAAATAATAATTCAGTAAACCAAATGGGGGACGGGGACGACACGAGGTAATCGCCTTTTCAGATAATGAACTCCGAATTGGAGGAGGCAGTACAATTTTGCTTTCACTCATTCAAAGCCCATCCTCATCATGTGTCTCGAATTGGCATGCAGAATAATACCTGCGCTACTGCCATCATACATATGCACACAAGACATGTATAAAGGACTTATATTTGCTGCTGCTCTTCAAATTTCATACTCTATCTTCAGTCTCTATTTAGACATAGGGAAACCATACACTTCGTTACTTAATAAGCTTTATTAATTCTTTGTGGGCTTTTATACCAATGAAGGGTTCCATAATATGGGACCTCATTATTAAGAGAAATCCTATAGCTGCGCCATTCAGAGTCTTATTCGTTTCTCAAAAGATTTTCAATAGAAATCTTCCCTGTGTGTCCCTGAACCTTTAACAAAATTCCACCCTTCTCATTATTTTGGTCCAGTTCATGACCATACAACAAAGTAATTTGTTATCTCGCAGTTCAAGATCTTCCACGAAGCCTACATTTTTATTTAAAAGAGAATTGTACTGTGCCTAATAAGGTATAAGCAGTGACCGTGCACACTACGATTCGAAGATAGGTTTAAAGGATTCCCAGGAATGAAAGAAAGATAAGATTTTTCAAGTGCATATAATTATATAAATACATAAATATATACGTGCAGTAGGAAAGCAGTGCTAAATCTGAAATCATATTTACTTTCTCCTGCACTATTTCATATCTAGTTTGAATAATTATAACATCAACCAAACCCCGTTCACCTGATGTAAAGAGAGTTCGAGTCTCAAGTCGTTAATAAATGTAAACAAATCGTTGATAGACTCAATAATCAAACCTGCATAGAACAAGGAAGTAACGTTTAGAAAATAACGCAAATATGTATTACGACCTACGTACACAAGTAATGGATCGGAGACAAAGACTGCCGACGACGGAATGAATGAAATGAGGAGACACAATTTGAAATGGAATTTAATATAACAAGCAACATGACATTTTCTAATAATAATGCTTGGTTTTCAAGGCTTCTCTTCAACCACACAACCCGTAAGCAAACATCGAGAGAAAGGAGAGGAAAGTGAATGTTCGCTCTCTTCGTAATAACACTATTCTAATTCACATGAAGTGCAGAAGCCGAGAGAGAGCAGCAAATTTCCTGTGTCCGTTTATATGTGGGTACTTATTCATCTTGTAAAATTTCTAGCAATAATGGATATGATGCCTTTGCGTAGTCGCAGCAGCGAGTTTTTGACGTGTCTTCTTTTACATTTATTGCTGTTGCGTAGATTTAAGCGCTGCGCTCGCATTACGGGTATGAATGGCTATACCTTTCCGACCATTCATTTCTGGTCTGTTTCATTTCCTTAGACTAAAATCTGCAGCGTAGAAAGTTTAGAACATTTACTCGTTAAAATATAACTCACAGCTTTACTTTACATCGCTGCGACCCATTCCTTTCATAACAAACAAGCACCTTGCAAGTATTAATATGATTATATCTTTCTTCTTTCAGGGATGTTATACATGCATATTTGAGTTGTAACCCTATGGCACTGTATGGCGGTAACCCATTGAATATATAATACAATATACAGGACGGACCAAGCCAAGGGAAATGTACGACTGAAAATGGAAAGCGGAACAACATAACGATTTCGGTTTGGAGATGCATACCAAAGACAAGACAATCTCGTAAATACCCGCATAATCCAACCAAATGTTATGTCCTCCGTCTTGCCGAGGATGTGCCCGCATCAGCAAGCACCAAATAAAGTTTATGCTGGGAGAAAGGACTGGAGAAAGCTGACATTATGCCTCACTCGCATCCACCACTTGACATTATATTACATTCGCATTACATATTATTAAACATCTTTAGGAGACAGGATAAGGCACAAATTTTATCGTCATAACCCTGTTAACAGAACTTAGCGGTCGCTACCCTCCAAACAAAACAGTCAGGCCATGTACATTATAATAGCTTAACAGGCTAAATCATTCCTGTAATAACTATACATAATATGCATAGTATTAGTTATACAATATACATAATTATACTGTATACATATATGTACATGCCAACCCCTACCAATTACTTCGTCCTATTTACAAAGTTAATTATTTACCAAAGTTATTGGCTGTACATAATAAAAATAGGATTACATAATAAAGAATTGATCATTACAAGCTCAACAAATTATTGTGCACCTCATTGTATCAATCATTTTGCCAAACTATTGTTGTGAGAACTGAACTCTACGTGTGTCTGATCGGTTAACAGTAAAAGTAAAATGAATGACTATTTAGATTTAAGATAAATGATATATTTAGAAGAGCCGATGTAAATATGCATCAGCATGATATACATCGGCCATAATGAAGAAAGTAGCATATTTAGTTAATAGTGTACAGTAAAGGAGACCTGAAAAGAGTCGCAGGTTTGTACAACAAAAACATGCTCTCATCCCTGATACGCACACACCCACACACACAAAAGATCGTTGAAAATCCGTGGAGTCCACTCGCCGAGCAATGTACTAAACTACATAATCTCCCTCGTAGCTGGGGCGTAAGTGGCGATAGTGCAGCGCAGCAGTTATGTGAGCAAGAGGAAATCGGAACGAACATTATTCAACACATGGTCGTGTTATAAAATGAAACATTGAAAACTTGGTGAAATGGGATTTGAAGAGGGAGTGTGCAAGTTCAGAGGAATTTGTTCATATTAATAAAGCAGGGGAACTATGTAAGCTGTAAAACATGATTGCTATTACTCGTAAACTATCAATTTCACTGGGGAATATTGGTTATTTTGGTTTATAGTCTCAGTCACTTTCACATTTTGGCCATTTCATGCGTAATTACATGGATGCAACGTATATACCACTATGAAATGGCGATTTGGTGTCCAAATGCATACAACCACGCTTCCTCTGCCACTATGTATGCTACTAATTACTTTCACAGACGATGATTTCAATCGAGGTCATTTCCGAAAGAGCCAAATTATATTTACACCCGGAATACGAGATGAGCCATTAAAATAAAGATAGGATGGCATACTACAATTTCATTGCCACATTTCATGCCGCAGTTTCAAACTCCATATTTCCATAACATAGTTTAAGATCCGTAATAAGAGCGGTCCTTTTTCTTACTTATATTGCTGCTACACATGGTGCACCGTGGTGGTACTGGAGAGGCCATCATAATGTTCATGTGAACTTCCATGCGGACTTTGGAAGAACTGGGTGTAAAACTCTGGACAAGACAATGATGTCGCGAATTTGGTAGCCATCTCCTGTATTTTGAACTTCCTTCGTACGTGAGGAGGTTGAAAACTGGAAACGGGGATAATCATTAGGGACAGTTCTGAGAACAAGGCGCATTAAATTCACCACCACCGCAAATGAGACCACTCTCTGAAATGTACCTGTCATTTTCTAGTCGCTTGCGTCGAGCCATATTCAGCGCCGTTTGCCTAACCAGATTTCCCAGTGTGCGTCGACTTACAACCATGCCTGTACAGGTAATCGGTTGTAATAATAATCATTAATTATCCGGTGTTAGTTATACAGAGGAAGATAGTGAGGATGATGACTGATTTGAAACTTATTCATCGTTAAATGTATTAATATTTTTTTATATAGCTTGTCCTGTTAATTGTTAAGATAATGTGTTAAAAATGTAAAGTTTCTTACCATCCACCAGTGGTGTTGGCAAGCCCATCCTATAATTTTCACATCATTATTATTCTTGTCATCTTAATTCGCCTTTTTCGCCGTTAACGTAGTTATTACCTGAATTTGTTAAAATGTGGATTCAGTGCCGCTGTTCTTATGGTTGGTGTTGAGCACACAGCTTGCTTACCCGTTGCAACGGATAAGCAAGTTGTGCGCTCATACCACTGTGTTATTGGCACGCGAGTGGTAAAACTGACCGAAAATTTCAAGACCAACCATGACTCCGGAAGAACAGCGGCACTGAACCCAATTTTAAAAAACCAGGTAATAGCATGTTTTAAAAACAAGTTAGGATTTCAACCTAAGAGATTCTCCTGCCAGGCGGATTCGAAATAGTCCATTCTTTAATGCATGGATAAATATTATCAATGAAGGATCCTTGACCAGTTCATTTTCTAGCCCGGTGACTGCAGAACTCATTAAAGCACCTATTTGATATAAAAAAATTAATAAACATGAAATTATGCAACCGTATTTTTTCTACATAAAACTCATATCCTTACTTGAAGGAAAATGAAACGAATCTTCGAAACTCTCCAACCAAACAACAAAGATTTTGGTGTCAATCAATTTTCCATTCAAGGCTTTCTTGAGTTTACTCCTATCTTCACCATGTTCAACAATATGCTTTGGGAATTTGGATTTATTCTTGTCATTTGTGCTAGTCATATGTAAACCCTCTACGCAAAATAAATATATGGACGAATTTTATCAATCTTGTGTACACATTATATTACTTGATGTACATATGTAACAATGATGAAAACCTGGAGAATCTGGAGACGCGTCTCCAACATCCCAAACAGCAGCATCACCACACTGCTGACCAGCAGTAGTAGGGACAATAAAAGCAATCTCGGACGCCACATCACTCCAGTACAACTGTTAGGATCAACCATAGGATGAAAAATAAATACTACATAATGCATTTACATAAACTGGCTTTGTCTGCGGCCGTAGAAAAGATGAATTCTGTTGAACTACAGTAATTACAGTACTGCCGGGAAATTTTGTTTGAAAAGTAATAAATTGTGTACTCACAAAACTGTCCCCATTATACAAACTTCCGCCGTGAAAGTCAGTCTCCTTTTGTGTCAGGCCTGACTGAGCCCCATCGTCTTGCAGCGTTGCATTACACTTTTGCTCTGTGTGACCACGCAAAGTCGAGCTCCGGTGACTAAGACGCTTCCAGCTCGTGTTAATATTGCCTGTCCATCCCTCGTGTTCTACATGTTTGTTGAAATAAATTATTGTCACACTATTTAATTGCTCTCAATTAAATACGACTACATTTAGGTACATAATTAACTCTAAAACATAAAAAAGTTATGTATTGAAGCGTCTGGGCTAAAAAAAACATTCAATTCAGGGTAGGCCAATTTAAGCAAGATGTTTGCATTAGATCTATTGAACAAACCTGAGACGTTGACTGGCCAGCCGAGTGATAAGAGAAACTCTACGAAATGTGGATGAACGTTGGCTCGAGATTGCTAAAAAGTAGAGGTATGTAAATAAGTATGTAAATATGTTTAACGATGGTCACCACTTTATGAGTAATATTGAAATGATTAAAGACTATGTGTAATGAATATGTTAATCTTTTTCGTAAATAACTTGTTCTACATAATTGTTGAGATGTGTAAAAAATATATACATATAATTAGTTCTATTTCATTCTCCTCCTATTCCAGTCTTGATGACAAATTCGTTTAGCTGAATTGAATTAGTCTCTAACTAGTCAAATTCAATTGAGGTTTAGTCCATTACACTGACAACAAAACCTCAACTGGCAAATAATGACATTTAATTCTTTTGGGACATCTCAACGATTTAATTTGATTAAAGAATCCTGTCTACCCCAATCCAGGCATAATAGAATTACATTGAAAGCCTTTCACTATTCAACACAACAGCAGCGTCCGTAGATGTGAGGAGAGCTCATGTGGAAGGTATATTTAATTGCACGATCAACGGCACACACGTATGTGTGTATACAATTTGGGGATAAGGAAAAGAAAGTAGAGACCGTCATTTTACGTATAAGAAAAAAGAACCTACCACATTGGATAAAATCTCTTGAGGACATTTCTGTCCATTTCGAACATAGAACACGTGAACGGTATCACAAGTGCGACAGCTTGTCGAATCCAATGTTTCCAAATATTCCATGAAGTCCGGAAGTCTCGAGTCAATAGCAACCAATTTCGGGAGAGAAGAAAAATCAGATCCATCCTGTCAGAATCAATGACGACCCCAAGTTCCGGAAAACAACAGAAATAAAATCAGTCGGACGCCAGTCATTCGTTCAACTCATAATATCCTAAGACTACTTTATCACCACTAATACTACTGAGCTGCTTTCTTCAAAAGAATAACCATGAGCAGCGAGGAGCTTTCAAATTAAAAAAAATTTCCACCAGTAGAAAAATATTGAAATAAAATATTGCATTTCAATGACCTATAGTTAGGACCTCTCTACGTAACAACCCATGAAAAATGGGAAGTATAGAGTTATACGAGTAAAAAATAATTATTATTATAAAATAAGAATTAAAACAACCATGTCGTCCGATAACTCCAATTCTAAAATAATTATTATTTTATATATGCATCTATGGCATGTTTTATATGTACATTTGGGTCAAGGTTATGCATTATAACATCTGAGTTGCCTAACTCAACAGAATAATGATCTTTATAAAAAGATTAATAAAATCATGAGCAGACCTGAACAGTAATAAATCCAAGGTTAGATAGAAGAAGTCGAGCTGTTTGAAATTCTTGCGACACTGGTGGTGCCTGAGCTTCGGTTCTTAGATTAGGGTAACTCTCATCGGTCTCCTCCCGAATCATATTTTCCACCGATTTTTCCAGTCGAATTTGATTCTCTAAAATCTATTAAAGAATATAAAATGACAATAATACATAAATAAGTGTTGACATTGACTAATAGATATAGATATTTAGCAGAATGATATTCTTAAGAGCTATTTGAGTATGTAAATATTTTATGCGCATATTTCTACAACAATGCCGATTATTGCATTCCCTTAGAGGGTATAGTCGGTGGGACGTTTCATATGGTTAACATGATACTATAGGGATAATCACTCACCATCGACAGCCTACTTTGCTCTAATGCATCTTGGTCTCCAGATTCTGAATTAAAGAAATCCAACGGTGGAATCGCCTTATCTCTAGCACACATGAAAAAATAGAATAAAAATACAAAAAAGTAACAGACTACTCCTTTGCAACCAAATTCATTTTCGTAACGTGCATACAATCACATTAACAAATTTTCCTTGCTAAAGAATATGGTGGAGAGCGAGAAATAAGGAGAGGAGTTCGAGCCTTGGGCTTTATCGTATTTAGTTTCCTTCCTCATCACATCATGATGTTTATAAAAGGCAATTTCTCTCATTTCATTATCATTTCCTTTCAGTTTATATTTTCCCATCAAAATTTTACACCAGTCAGTGGAGACTAAAGCCATCACACTTTCTCTGATTCGCAACAGCTCGAGTGACTTTTCTGAACACTACATAAACCAACTACTATTTCATTTCGCTCTCCAAGCACTAAATACCAGTCATAAACTTAAACCAAATCAACAACAGAACAGTAACTTTCACTTATACTTTCACTCACGCTTTGCAGAATACAATTCGGTCCGCACTCTCCGGGAAATAACGATGCTGAATGTCGTCATACCGTGTTCCCACCACAGTCATCGGTAATGGGCGCCCTGTTGGGTTGTTTCCTGACAATTTACCTTTGTTCCTTGGCAGGTGACGCAATTGTAACGTCCATGCATGGCGCCCTGTAGGCACTCGCAAAACCATTGTAACCGTTGGTTGAGGATCTGAAGAATTGAAGAATTGAGTAAGCGAGATAACCCATATCACTGGAAATAAACCATGTGCATGTCCATGTCTGTAAATTTCTACTATGAAGTATGAACAGGAAAGGAAGTTTACTCATTCTAATGCACATATCATGGAATAAGATATATTATATCAATATACAATGCTATACAATGCGTAATAATATACTTAATTAAAAAATTGTGACCTTTGACCTGCCTGACATTTTTTTCAAAATTAAAGAGACCTACCGATAAATATCTTGAGTTTCAATATGGAAAATTTCGGATATTTATCTTTTCCCACACGCAAGATAATTGAATTTAGAATATAGTAAACTTTCTTTCCTGTTCTCCATTTATTCATGCAGCATATTCGTCAGACGAATTTCGTCTGTACGCACGATATGTTGGATAAATAATTTCGAGGGAAAATTTAAAAAAAACCCAGTTTAACCGCAGCGTTATGAACCAAGAAAAGCTGAATTAGCAATACCTTGATCATTTCCTAATGCTTCCTCGAACAAAGAGACCAAAATCGAATGATCAATCACAAAGTACCGGAAATAATTAGAAATAATTTCCGTTTTGGTGAGAGTTTCCTGAGAATGTACTTGACTCAAAACTGTATACTCGTCTACGGATGGCGACGTTTTCACTCCACTACATGGTGCATATCGTCCAACCTGAATTGACATTTTACGGCAATTTAGCAGAAGCCATAATCCGACTTTAATTAAAACTTGGCTGGCTTCATTATCTATTCAAATAATGATCCAGACAATTTAGATAAAGTTATATCTATATTAAGCTTAAAATAGTCAAGCATACAGAAAGATATTAAAGTAGTGATTGAGGTTTTAAATGTACACAAAAGAACAAAGTGAAAAAAGTACCTGCTCAAATATAACAGCGAGCAAAGCCTCTGCGGCATCTCTTACTCGGAGTGAAACTGGTTTCAGGTCTTTCTCATCTTTCATTTTCACGGGCTCCCCAGGTTTACTCTACAGTCGACGTAATAAAAAAATGAACATTAGAGTAATGTACTTTACTACCTGATACATACATAAGATCTGCTCAGGAGTACTTCGTGCTAGAAAAATATGACAATTATTTATGTGTGATGTGGATTTTTTACGGCAATCTACTTCAAACTCCACGAATCTCTAATCGCTAGGATCGCCAATATTGTTTATTTAACCTAATGAAAAATACGAAAAAATTTCTCCATCTAATTGCCGTGCGTTGAATTGACAAAACTAATTACAAACGAATAGCGTAAGTGCATATTTTTCAGATTTTTACAGCCAGAATGTATCACTATAATGCGCGGTGTGGTGCATATCTTGCTACCATCCGCAGCTATCAGGACTAATTTTCTAGGAAAGAGATTAATGACTTTGAAAAGAGGGTTGCCGAATGAGGACATAAATAATTCTTCCATTATGCATTAGTAGGGATAAAATGTTCCCGCATCCCCGAGATATGGTGAAGCTTTCACTTTCACTTCGTTCCTTTCCCCACTTCAACTGTACAATGTTCATACATAGAGCCACTGCAGATATTATTTCGTGGAATGGAAATCGGTCTAAAAGAAGACTCTGAATAGAATCTGCTGTATATAGTATGCTAGCTAAAAGGAGACAAGATAAAACACTAGCCTGAGATTTAGTCCCAGAAATTCCAAATTCGACTACTTCTAGCACCGTGTGCAGAGTCTCCTTGTCATCGAGAAGGTAAGGATGGTGAGTTAGCCAGGTTGTTTGACATTGGAAAGCAGCGACGATACTTGAATGAAGATCCTTGGAATGTGAAGGTGGTGGTCTAGAGCACTGATGGATTATAAAGTCGCACACCCATTTCACCGTTCGTCGACATTCCAAAGGATCTATTCAAAATTGATACAATAAAACGCAATCGTTGTACTACCAATTATTGCCTCACTTATTACAGACATACAATAATTTGGCCTTTAAACATAAACATATTGAATTTGTCCAATAAACAGGATTTGATGGTAGCCAAACTTACCAGCTTTTATTCCAATTCGACCCAAACCATTAAGAAGTTCTGAAAAAAAGTTGAAAAAATAATATAATGCGTATTCGCATAACGTAGTACTAAATAAAGTAAAAGTAACAAGAATTCTGAACTTTTGTATGTTATGAAAGTAGTTTTAAATTGTTATGAACAAATTTAATAAATACCTAAGGCCGCAATCGAAACTGGTAGATCCGTTTTCCAAGTTGATATGAGGCTGAATAATAAAGAATTATTCACATAAGCATAAGTTTACTCACAACTAAAGGATGCTACAGTATGCTATACTACAAGTTTAGGATAGTGAGACAAACTCCTATCGCTTACCACTTCTAGTTTCTAATGATGTGATTCTTGATAATCACAAAATATTTGAAATTCAAATAATGTGGATCAGGACCATGTGCATAGGTTGTAATGCTTACAACATGTAATTAGCATACATACATAAGTGAGAAACTGATAGAATTCTCATTAGTGAACTGATTTGTACCACGATACTGGTTCAAGTGTTTTGTATACACAGTATACTCTACAAATTGAATTATTTCTAACCAGAGGGAATATTTTTCTCAAGATGCAATTGCAAAATACATGTATTACTCGCACTTAAAATTGGATTACCAACATAATTACCATTTTTCCACCTCTGTAGATAATTAATTTTTAGGAAATTGGCAATGTTGAAGTTTTCTGTACCTTGAACATGCCTTAATGCTTATGTCTCGACTTTCGATATAAAAAGCGTGTTATTAATTAATGACTTACCGATGACAAACGAGGTATGTTGTACGGATAAACAGAGCATGGGCTGAATCTGTAAGTTCAGAACCATTTTGTATTTTCACTCAACATTTTACTTATTCCACTATTTTTAATGTCATAAAAAGGCGTGCAGATATAAGAAAATCAGAAAATCCAAATCAAACGAAATACCTATGCAACTCTCTCCTGATTCTGGTAATCCCAGTGCATGTTCATCAAAGCTATTGCTGTAATCACTGAAGCTTCGCATACTCGTATTTTCTGTGCAATATACAAAATCATAAACATGCGTCAAGTGTAAGAATAAGGCAACACAAAATTAATTATACAATAATAATGACGTGTTTTAAGCACTGACGAACCTGACAAAAACAAATTTGTGGGAGATTCTGTACCAGTGCCGACGGATGATTTTTCCAATTCTTCAAAAGCTGCAGTGTCGCTAACAAACATCATCAACCCACCTACACCATTACGAAAAATGGTCCAATCAATTATGCAATGCATTGTTCTTGCTACATATGTATTTACTATAAATTTCAACAGTAAATCATGCACATACCCAACAACATTTGTATATTCACCGAATCTGTTTCAACTTGTAACGCATTGGTCAAGAGATTTGCTAGTCGAGGTTTGAGTTGAATAAACGTTGTAGAATACGAATTTTTATCAAGTACTTCTTTTATGGGGACATTCTAGAAAGTAAAAGATACAAATAGCAATGAAGAATTTATCTCCTTCTGCGAACCGTGGGCGGATGGATAATAATTAAGTTGTAACACGTATTACTTGTAACATTAATATTATTATGTAGTTATGCCGAAGGCTGAGATAAAAAATCAGTACTGAAGTACACACGTTATATAACAACTCTTGTACATGGAAAGTCAGGCAAGCGCTAAGTGCGTTTGGCTGGCTGGTCGAGAACTTTCCCCAGACATTAACGCGATATAAAAAATCGCCGACAGGATGATCACACTCACAAATAAATTCATTAAAGCTTACCAAGAAATGGAATGGAAGAGATATCATCGATAGCAATAATTGAATTGAGGATTGTCGAAGATCATTCCTCAGGGCGTCCTTAGTTGGAAGGACAGCTTCCAAAGACTCGACAATGGCCGGCATTAAAACTGTCACTCCTTCTAAATCCACTCTGAATAGGTCTGGTGAATTGGACAGGATCGAAACCAACACCTCGGAACGCGTCTCCTGAAAAGATTTCAGTCCGAAGTAGTTCTTCTCAATCTTACATTCAGCACACAATGCAATCTCAAAAACACGGGACAAATACAAATACAATCTTCAATACACTTCTATGGCTTAAAAGCGAAGAAATCGCATTCGCATCCTCCCCGACCAAAGGATTTTGGAATCTACTTTTCTGCTATTCCTAAGACTCTTCTTCTTTCTCAAATACTCACCACACACTTACATCCATTCGACGGGATACACAACTTTTGATTTGATAGTGAAGACGTGATAAAAACCTTCTTCTTCATACCATCGATTCTGTACTACAAGTATGTTTACGAACGACCTGTCTCTCAACTGAAACTCTCCTACGTGTATCTATGTATGTACGCTTTCACTAACCTACATATCGTCTTTTTGTCATTTCAAATCCAGATCAAAAACGTATGACAAAACGTATGACAAACAAAAAAACGTATGACAGCTACTCCATAGAATAGGATATACTATTGTACATACATACTACTCTACTCTTCTTGAATATAATTAATAGAAAAATAGAAAATATAAATATATTAACATAACACATCTTAAATATATTCAAGAATAACGTGACTGTACAATGCCACTTAAAAAATGTCTTACCTCATCATTCCTATCCTAAAAGATGAGAATTTTAAATTTTCTAGGCTTCAATTAATAATGCATGATTTTCAGAGACCTTTCCCTGGTCTCTTAAGTATAACATTTTTGCATTCAACCTGATACTTTTTGTATTGATATTCGCATATATATTCATATTGTGACAGTGGACTATTATTATGGACTAATTAATTAATAAACTCACCTTCAAACCCTTATGAACAGCAATGTAAAACCGAGCTAAATATGAAGGTAATATATCTTCACCAGTTTTCTTGGAGCAGAAAATTCGACAAAGAATTCCAAGTGCCTCTGCTCTTCCCTGCAAATTTATAATTTACAATGACTTTTTATAAATGCATTTTTATGATCATGGATCATATTACTATATAAGTAGCGATAGCTTTGGAACGTTCTCTCCATTGTTTGTTTATAACTTGAACGAAGCAACAGTTTTCAGTTCTGCTTTCAGTGACTGATTTAAAAAATAACGCCGAATTTGTTAATGGAATCCTGCGGATTAGCGGTCAAATGGATGTAACACATTTTAAGTAAATACAAGTTTTAACACATTTCGTATCATTGGAAAATCTGTGGAAAAGCAACAAAATTGTAAATGGTATATTGGATCTGGGATAATATAGGGTCAAATGTCAGTTTCAAAATATCATAAAATAGAATTTCCGATATTTTTCGAACGTTCGTTGTACATCGCTACTTTCTTACATCTGTTTAGCATAGAGTTTTGAAAGCTTAAATAATAAGTAGCTACCTGGTAATATTTATCGATTGTGATAGCATGTGGTATATCGATAGACTCGGGCAAAGCAGCCGGAACTGAGGAACTTCTTGAGGTCCTTCTTACTTCACCGTCTGTACAAATAAATCAGAATAAAATATCAGTATGTATCCGAATCTATGTATATTGTACTCAATGTACGAATAATGTGTCACTTTGTCAAAAATGTTCCATTACCGTGTTTGGGCTCAGAACATGTTAAAGCTGACTCAAACAGCCATGGGCCAAATAGATGTAATATGCTGTTTACTTTAGGTCTACCAATTTCCATCCTTGTAGAAGGGATGAAACTTTTAGAAGGTGCACCCATCGATCCGGAGGACTGTACGCTTTGAATACTGTTGGATTGTGAATGAGATAAGGTAGGAATCGAGGAAGTGTCTTTCGATCTTCCGGTAGTAATTCCCAACAACGATGTCCTGGGGTTTCCTAAGGAGATAATAGGAAACGTTTACATTCCCTTATAATGATATGTGCATATGTATATACGGGTTATTTGTCAATTTAACTAAACAACAAGCTTTTCTATTAATACCGAGTAATAATTAAAATTAAATTAATCAACGATAAAAGCAGTATGTAAGCCAATTATATTACAATACTACAGCACCAAAATCATTTAAAATTAGATAATTGCAACAACTATCATCAGCAAACGCAAGAATAAAAAAGTTGTGTGCAATCATATATACCCTTTGAAACATTTGAAGTACTAGTAGCAACACTAAAGCTTTTGGCAAGCCGTCTCATAGGAGCTACTGGGCTCGGAATTGTGGTGGTTGGAGAAGAATGTTCAGGAATAGTACCTTCCATCATCATCGGTCGCGGAGGCAGCCCTAAACCCATTTTTACCAAAAAAATCCAATATGCAAGTATTACATTTACAAACCAAGACGATAGAAGATAGAAAAGATGAAACAGTAACAGAATTTCCTGTGCTGTGCTGTAGTTGTATCATACTTTGTGTGTATATATATATTATGGAGAAATGTGCCTATTGGCAATCTTCTATTGGTGCAATAGTTGCTTAAAAATATTAACAAAGTTTGTCATCCAATGTGTATATACATACATGTCAATCAGCTATATTGCATGCAGACTCACAACTTCCCTCATTTTGATGCAATATATGCATGTATGTAAAGCTCTGCAATTTGTATGCAGTTTGCAGACATACCCAAAAATGCATCAACCATTCCTGCAATTCCTGCCATTGATTTGTGAAATATTGAAGGTAACACGGATAGACATGGATGTTGGCAAGGATCGACGACGGCGTCGCTGGAAATCGCGTACTAAAAATAGGTAAAAAAAATGTTGCATCGAATGTGGTACGTACCTAGTGAAAAGTGGTAAAACACGGTATCAACTAAAGTAGACAGTTACCTGCAAAAAATTTTGAGTCTGACTAATGATAGTGGGTTGGGTTAAGTCCACAGGATTGCCAATTGTATCTGCGAGAAACAAAGTAAATTCTAGAACCCCGCAAATATTAGATTATGCTATGCATATACGAATTGTACTGAAACTAATTCAAATTGATTTATTTATTTATCAAAGATGGGGCTAAGAATTTTCTTTAAATCTTATATTGATAACTAGAATTTCAAATAAATTGTAATATGTTATACCGGAGAAAATATAGAGGACTTACGCAAAAATCGATACCATGTTTGTACAACACAATCATCACTCATGTTGGCAGGTACAAGATTCCCATCATCTTCGACTTTAAAAAATATATGAAGCCCATTTCAAATTTCAATTTCATCGATTGAAGTGAGTAATTTATATAAATTGTCAGACTCACGATGCTTGACATACTCGGGACCATACATAATGTTGAGAACACGCCCTGTGAGAAGAAGATTGATACGATTCCACTGATCAAACAAATTCGATCGATGACGGAAGCACTGGCAAGATTCCCGTAGGGTTTTCCAAAGAGTAGGAGATGGAAATGACTTTGCACAAGCCAATAACCAGACCTATGAGTTTAAGATTTTTATATTCTAAAAGGTGATGATAATATAGTATATGTACAAACATATGTGCACAGAGAGTGAATGTAAGTTGATATATATGATTTGATTGATATGTGTGATTACTTCAAACAGGACGCTCAAAACCCTGTCACATAGCTGATCCCCAATGTCACCAGTGATTGATGGAGGTGACAAAATAGCATCATTTATGGCTATCAGGAATAATAGACAGGTTGACCAAGTAGCGGGTTCAAGAGATTCCGATGCCTTGATTACATTTTGAAGGATTCTAAGCACCCGATGACATAAAATGGCTTGTCGATTAATTGTGTCTTGAGCTATAATTATTAATTCAAAATTATAAATAGATTATTAGTTGAAAAATTATAGAACCAACACCAACATATATTGCATTTAATTAATTTATGACACATGATACAATACAAGTAGATAGCCCAGTTGATAACGAATAATACATGAACAAAGAGAAATTTATATGTATACCCAAATCCGTCCGGTATAGAAAAGGCCAGACTTGAAAAAATTTGGAATCGTTTATAAGAAAGAATTGTTAGACAAAATTCGACTAGTCCAAACTTTGATACTTTATCAAAATATTCCACATAAGTTAACCAGCAAAAATAATAACTACTGAAGTAACTATTGATTAAAATGTACCTTCTCCTTTTCGAGGAAGAAATAGGTGATAGAGCTGTAATAAAAATAAATCTGATTAGTGGAATAATTAAATGAAGAAAATGCTTATGAACAATTTTCTCCTGTGAACTTTTAATTAAATAGCTCGCCTATTAGGCGACGACTAACCTGGTTTATCATTTTTCTTGCGTAAAAGTCCGGTCGGTCGACCACTGGTTTAGGCACTGATATCTTTGGAATGGGGGCCAAACATGATAGCCATTCACAGTAAATACTGACACAATCCTTAATAATTTCGTGGTCAGCCAAAGGTAAACTTAATCCATAGCAAACCACCTGAAAGAAAACATGGACAATACATAATAACATTATAGTAAGATAGGTAAATACATATTATAATGTTAGATACAGGTATTAACTGACCTGAAGGCACCATTCGACCTCTACGTCTGAATCGAAGGAGCTTGGCGAAGGTGGTTGTGATATTCCTAGCGTAGAAACGACATGGCGAACAACGGCACCAACGACTTCCTTTGCCGATTCCGGTGGTAAGCTGGTGAGGACGGAAGATCGTTCAAACTTATCAGACCCATTACCAATAGATCCCGTTAACGTGGCCCATTCCCAGTACATCTTAGATCCTACCACTCGGTCCGTTGATTTTAAATCCAGTAAACAGCGATATCAAAACGTTTTTTGTGCATTAACGGTAATAGCTATTTGACATAAAACAAAGAAAAAAAGAAATATCAATCATTCCATCACAACTTTGAGTTATAATTAGACGGATCTAAATAATTTTTTAAGTCTTACATTTTCATAATTTGCAATTCATAAAAACCAACGATAAATGTCGATGAGTGATGAGGATTCCTCATTGAGGAAAATGAGCAACGCTATAGATGACTTTGATGCATCTTCCATCAGCTAGATTTTATCCAATTTTGCTTTGTAGGATGTGTAAAATTATTTCGTAATTGCACAGGTAAAAGCCAAAATTTGAAAACAAACAAGTCGCAAATGATGACAGCCAGCTGCTCAGTAGCCACTGTAGCCAGCTCGCGGTGTTCATCCATTACCCCGGCTCAACAAGTGTTATTATGCATATTATCAAAGACTCCGTCACAAATGCAAATAAATTAAATAATAGAACGATGGAAGTGTTTTCGTATTATATGAAATTTTCCTTGTATATATTACAAAATTATCAAGAATGTAAAATAATTACTGTTATGAAACATGAAATCAAGATACAATAAAATACTAATTGTTGTTAGGTGGTGGTTTCAGTCTCTATTGTTGAATCAACTTCCATTTTTTCGTCGTCCTCATTTTCAGAAACGACTTGGTCTTTTGTGGAACTAGCCACTTCGTCTACAATTGGAGTTACTACAGTATTCATTGCCTCATCTTCGTCAAATTTAATGGGAACGGGTTCTTCTTGTCGCTTTGCTTCAGCAGTTATTCTCATTTCTTGGAGTAGTTTCTGTGATAAAATTAATCTTTGAACAATGTATACTTAATAAAGATAAGTTTATTCAAATGTAGACCGAGATAAGGGAATCATCATGATACCTCTTTCTTTTCCGCTTCCTCCTTTCTATAGACATCCAGCTTTGTCATATAAATGTCATACACAAACTGAGCCATGTGTTGCATATCCTTAATCACGACTGGATCCTCGTGGAATTTTACATCTGCCTTCCGTTCAGTTGGGAAAAATTCCCTTTCATGAAGATGCAGCTTGTCTGGTCTTTTACTTAACTGCATAGAGAATGTAACATTGTAAAATTTAATTTTATGAAAATTATGTCATTATCTTGGATATATTCCAGGAATATCTTGTATAACTGACGGAGAATGCATTGTCGGCTTAATTTCTGTATTGGGAAATTAGGATCAAATTTTAACTTACAATAGAGAATGCAGGCGTCATCTCAAAGCAGTTTGCAAACAATGGAATACGAGCAAAAATATATAATCCTAAACGTGCTCGAGACAAGGCAACAATCAATCGTCTGGCATCTCTCAAGTGTCCAACAGTCTTTGTTCGAACCAACGACAACAATATATAGTCGTTCTGCTGGCCTTGGTACTTATCCACAGTTGAAACCTGCAACCACAAATATTATATTAATGCTTGGAATAAATATTAATTAGCCTACGTAATATTGGATAAATACAATCATACCTTGTGGGGTTCACCAATCAATAAACTTTTCGCACATTTTGCAGCAATAATATCCTTGATTAACGCCTTCTGTCCGTTGTAAGTTGTCAAAATGGTAATTTTCTCGGCAGGATAACCAAGCATTCGCATATACATGTAGGTTGCAACAACATACTCTGCTTCGGCCAAATTCTAGGGATGAGAAACACAATCATATTTGTTAAACACGTTACAAATTATCAATTATCAAAGAATGACAATGCAGTGCATCTTTAAATATAATTTACCTGAAAAAAGTACGGGCTTGGTTCCGACTCGCCCACTCCATTGAAATCAGCCACGTTTATGAGTTGATAGTCGTATGCAAACCCTGGATTAGCTAGAAGGTATTCTGGCTGAGAAGCGACATGGGGTAAATTTCCCAATTTCTTGTATCTCCATTGAAATAATTGAGCAATGCTACATTTAAAACAATAATTATTTAACAACTAGAAAGACTCGATTGTCATATATACATATCTACTCCCTGGACCAGTTAATAAAATTTGCATACCTTGGCCGTGCACGGCCTTGTGCATCTAATTCGACCGCAGGAACGCCAAGTCGAACGAATCTAGCAAATAGAGATTGCTCCATGTTGCCATACTTTTGGAAAGCCATATTTTTAATAACTGGAGGTAATTGATGATGGTCTAAGAGTTGTAAATAAACAAATTTGCATCATTTCCATATAGCAGTCTTATTTGTGTAATCCATAAAGCATCTGTAAATTATGTAATACCTCCGATCATAATCCAACGCTTCAGACGAATTCGCCCTTGTTCAGGATTTTGTAACAACAGAGGAATAAAAGTCTCAATTTCCAGGATCTGGGCAGATTCTTCCATCAAAATGTTGTCATATTGGAAAACTATTTAATTTTAAAATAACCACAAAATTAAAAATTTTGCAAAGAAGAAAAACATTTGTTCTCATTCAATTACTATAATTGAATTAAACTATTTTCTAGTTGTTGTAGTACTCGATTCGATATTACCAATAACTATTGAATACTAACTTTATAGAAATTAAACTTACTTAAATCCACCAGTTCACGACGCTTGAGTGCAGCATGAGTACATGTCATCGCAATTATCTTGGCTTCTTTAACCAAAAGGTATCGAGATCTATCAAGTCCAGTACGAAGCAATCTAAATTGTAAATAATATTCTTCGTAACTTTTTGTTTGTGCATAAGTAGTGATCAGCAGCAAATTACTCACTCAAATGCTCTAAACTCATCAAGTTGCTCAAAAATCCGCTTAATATATCGAAAACATCCTTCTGCTATTTCCATGTCTTGTTCGTAACTTTTTGACTTAAATAGCGGTTGAGGTGCATCAGCAAAGAACTTATCAAATGGGAAGCTTTGTCCAATAACCTCGACATTTCCTTCCTAAAAAATAAAATAAAATAGATATTAATGCATGAGGATACTCGTTAACAGAGATAACAAAGAATGTAATACTACTTGTGTACGTGTATTCCTACTTACCACGCTCGCATTGGCTGCTTTTACTTTTATTAAAAATCTTTCCCAATTGGGCAAAACATGGTGTACAAAAAAGAATCCACTAGTTTCACAGGTATAAGCAACATCACCGCAAACATTTAGTGATTTCTGAAGTTTCTCCACTTCGACCAGTAAATCCAAACGCTTGGCCAGGACGTAATTAACTCTGCCGTACCTACTGAAATCTTTTTCAGTTTCCAATTCTTCTTCGCCTATTAATAGAGGAAAAAAGATTTTAAGTAAATATATAAGCGCACAAGCACAAAATATTAAATATTAATAGAAACAATTTCATGATCATGACCTTAGTCAATTTATAACAAGTACTTTATTATATGCTCACTTACCATGACCAAGACGAAGCAAATGTCTTTCATCAACATCCAATGCAATAACTTTTTCAAACAGTTGATTCAAAGCTTGATTCGAATGAGTCACAACTAAAGTTCTTTGATCAGGAAAGTTGTGATAGATGTTGGATATAATTTGTGTGGCGACATCCGTTTTACCTGTTTGTTCCAATATATATGTAGGTTATTCATATGACTTGATTTTTTCGTTCTCAGAATTCCATTGTACATAGTATATTCAATTGTTACCAGTTCCAGGTGGACCGACAACCAGTGTTAACCCAGGTTGCATCCCACTACGAATCGCTTCCACTTGGGTTGGAGTGAACTGAATTTTATTCCTTAAATGTTCAGGTAGCGAACAATCATAATTATCAATTAATGAGGAATATTACCATCGTCACCGGCATATTAAATGGTTTATAGATATGTATTAAAACTTACAGATTTGGCTGATTGGTTGGATAAGGTCCACGTGATAAAATAGTATATGGCTCAATCACAACTACTTTTTTCTCAGAATCTTGACCATCATCACCTTCAAACGTCACCCTGTAACAGCGAAATTAGTTATTAAAAAATAATAAATGGCGTCATAATAATTGTATCGAGTGAGTAGTAATACCTTATAGGCCTCGAGGTAGAACTTCCTTTCATTTCCGGTTTGTAATTAGGAAAGCTGGCAATGGCATGGTTGACATCCAAAAATGTATCATTAAAATCTAATTTGTTTAACTTATTCGGCAATCTGCAACAAAATGCAACGTTTGTTCATTAAAATTGCACTATTATTTATATCTGTATATAAACAATTTATATTTTTAATATGTTCTAAATACTCAGAATAGTGGGCTGATTTTGGGTCACCATATCCTAATATGACATCATGTAGCCAGTCGGGAACGACACAGTTAATATTCATTAGGTCTCGAATAGTTTCCAGCACACACCTGGAAAAAATTAATTCATAACAAAAATTTACAAATTGCAAAAAATAATAGCTTCATTTGCATTCATACGCTCTATCTAATTACAATAAAATGATTCACAACTCACTTAAAATTGTTTTCTTTAGGTTTCCGTCTCAGGAAAATGTTGAAGGTTTCGTAAACATCCTAAAAGCAGAATTACAAAGGTTAACCCAACATAATGCATACGCAAATCTAATAATTAGTAAAGTAGGATAGTAGGGAATTAGTTATTGCCTCTTTTCCATGAGCAATATTGTCCAGGTCAATCTGGTATTGGTTTGGATCTGTAATAAAGGCATACATTATTAAATGATTCTTCGGATACATAATTAAATTCAATGATATAAGGTCATCTGACTCTGATTCTCGTAGTAGATTTACTTACCCAGAACAATTCTAAAAGTTCGTGTGTCACCAGGTATATGAGGGCGAGGGTCAGGACCCTCTTCAATGACTCGACCATTAGCATCCAACATTCCTTCAATTTCACAACCCTTCAAATAAAAGAAACAGTGAGGTAAGCATGTGACCCGATACTTCGTACATATACATATAACTTAAAAATAATAATATCACTCACGCGAACGCAAACAAGCCCAACTTGAGAAATGAAATCCCCTTTGAAGTCATATTTAGAAGGAGCTAAAAATTAATTGTAAAATTAATTGTACTATATAAATAATTTGTCGTCGTAATTTGATATCGTATTTGACATCGTAATAATTTGTTAATAAGTAATGTTGGTATGTTTATTGTGTACTTACGTTGAGGGTTTGGAGGCTTAACAGTGACCAAGAAACATGCGTCATGTTTTCTTAATAATTCCCATTCTTGTTTAATGTTTGTTCGAACATTAAGATTCACAGTGACATCAGCTCGCACACGAGAAGGTCTATTTTCCCCCAGATTTGGCTTTGCAACCTGAATAGCAACAAATAATTTTATTTGAATATAATTTTAGATAATAAATAGTATAGGTAGGGGGGTAAATTTTACCTGAATCACTGCAAATCGGACAACGGGCGAAGCCATTCGAGCCCAACCATTGAATAAGGTAGATCCATCCTCTGCCCTCCAAGGTTTTAACCTGAATACAGCATCTTCAATGTCTTGGCGAATTTGGTCTGTGAAATACATAACAGTCAACGTTTGAAATACAAACAAGCTTCTACATAAAACATAAAAGTTTAATTTAACTTACACGTTGACTCAAGTCGGAACAAGTCAAAATTCCTTAACAAATAGTCGTGCAAAGTCAAGAATTGTAAATTCAACTTTGGAAGGGCCAAAACTTGTCCGGATGCACTATGATAGTCTGCAGGGACCACATTTTCATCCCAAATCACTTCTTCCGTTGGGTAAAGTGCCATAGAATTTAATCTTTTAATTTGTGATACTCTACGTTCGTATCTAAATACTAAAGCCTCCAGTAAAAACTGAACAGAGACGTCCTCCTTCTTCACATTATCAATAAGATTGATACAACCAGCCAACTCCTTCAGTTCATCAAAGCTGCAATATACACAAACAAACCATTCATGTATTCCAATTATTCACATTAATTAATCGCATTATGTATCTGACTACTAAAAACGTAGTAGTAAACGAAAAATAAACATAACATATATACGGCATACTTAAGTGATTTAAATGACTTCATTATAGCAGCTTTTGTGTCGACACTGTTGACATTGCTTAAAGCAAATTGTCGAAGCTCTGAAAACTTTTGAAATACGGTTTGCTGCAAAAAATATATAAACAGAGTTTAAAATAAAGTTTAGTATTTGCCATAAATTATAAAGATTCTATTTTATACCTGAAGCGATGTTATTTTTTTGTAGTGCTCGTTCATGACTTCCAACTCGGTCATGGGGTCTCCAGATTCATTGCAAATCTCAAAATTGGCATAAAATTTCAATCGGTCCAACAGCTAAAAATATGTGGTATAGTCGTCATAAGAAGGAGCAATAATAAATATTTTAGCATGCGGTCGGAAGTTATTTTGTTTTTAATTTTTACCTGTGAGAAGAGGTGACCGTCTCCGTGCTCAAGTATTTGATTCATTTGACATTTTACAATTAAATGAAGATCGTCAATAAGAACTGTAAAAATAAATATAATATTTATAATTCATGTTTTTAGTATGAGTTTGTATTATAAACTTGCCATTTAGGTATCTTCTAGTCGGTAGTAACGCTTGCAAATCAATCATTAATTCCATGAAGCGTTCAGCATATAGTAAGAAATCTTTATCCAACTGTGCTTGTGTATAATCTTGTCCATCTAGCAAATCCAAGAAGTTTACAACTAAAGTTTTGACGAACGAACGATAAAACTGATTTAACAATTTCTTGTCGTCATTTTCATTTTCTTCTTTTTTAAGGAGTGACTTCCAATACTTTTTCCATTTAGGATATCGACGAAATTCATCTTCTCTTCGACCCTGCAACAATATAAAATCAAAAATGTGTTAAATAAGTCTACAAATATTATTAACCTTGAACCACCTATCATTTTGTTTTGATATAATTGTTACCTCAGACAGGCAATGCCAAACATGGAGAGACACCAAGGTTTGAATTTGTTTACGAACTAAATCAATTTCCAAAGATGAAAATGCACACTGCAAAAATAACATCATGGAACACCCTTCTTTCAAACTAACACTCCCTTCTTCCAGAAGCCCTTCCAGGACTCGATAAATAAATTTTCCAAATTTGTCAGCATCTCCTTCAAACGCCTGCATAACAAAAGATTAACATGAAGTAAGCATACAATTATCCAAGATGGAGCTGTTTCGAAATATAATTAAAACTCACCTTCCAAACTGGAACGCCTTCTCGGTGCTTTTCATTCACCATACAAACCATGGACATGATGTGGGAGAAAGTTGAGTTTGCTGGGTCAAAATTGGGCCACAAATAGTTTTCCAAATACTGACTGATTTCCAACAGAGCAATTCTCCGAGTATGGAAACTGTAATGTTTAAAATAGAAACCCATATAAATTCTAAATATACACACACAGCAATATTATGCAATAAATTAAAGAAAACCCGTACCTTGACTGAACAACCTCATTAATATAAAGATCATCTACAACCGACTGGTCGAAAGGAAGGTGTGGATCTGAACTATTGCTTGCCCAATATTTTTGAGAAAGCTGTTAACAAGCATAAAATAAATAAATTATACAAAATCTTATTATTATTAATGATGATGTAACTGTTTGCAGTTTTTAACCACGGATTACCTGAGTAATTTTATCCTGGTTGATTGCGTCCACTGTGGGAATGAAGGCCCTACTTCTGCTCCGCGTCTTGGCCGTAGCTGTATTTAACTTGACCATAATGATAACCTTTTTTTGAATAATTAACCTCACGTGCAATTCTATAAACACAAACCAACAACCGTCGGCAATTTTTCATAGACGAAGAGTTTTTGAACTTGGCTCCAAATTTCGCCGCACCGCGGAAAGCGAACTGATTCTCAGAGTTGAATGAAGCAGCAGAAACCCAAAAGTCATTCTAGACTGACTCGGAATAACAAAAAATTAACTTTGATTAAGTCATCTCCAAAAAATAGCAAAGTGAAAATCAGATTTTTAAATATATTTAACAGGCTAAAAGTGTTATTTGGTGATAAAAGCGCAAGATGAGTTCAATCGGTACTGGGGTGAGTTTTACTAAATTAAATACTGCATACTACACTATGAGCCGGGTTTCTAATTTAAAATATATATTTTTGAATTTCAGTATGACTTGTCAGCGTCACAGTTTTCTCCAGATGGTCGTGTTTTCCAAGTGGAATATGCTCAAAAGGCGATTGAGAATAGTGGGTCAGTGTAGAAAATGTGATTTTGATTTTATATGTTAATCCGCAGTTTGTGTGATGACATGCTATTATTGCTATTGTTCGTTATAGAACTTCAATCGGTCTGAGAGGAACTGATGGGGTGGTTTTTGCTGTGGAAAAATTGGTAACTTCAAAGCTTTATGAACCAGGAGCAAATCGACGACTTTTCAATATTGACAAGCACATTGGAATGGCAATTGGTGGATTGTTAGCAGATGCGCGTCAAATTGTGGAAAGGGCCCGTCACGAAGCTTCGAACTATAGAGGAGAATACAAAGGAGATGTTCCATTAAAGGTGCAATGAGTGGACAATTTGCTTAATGTTGACCAAATGATTGGGACGATATGAATCGGTTATTTAATGTTTGCGTTATTTTCAGCATTTGGCAGACAATGTTGCAATGTACATGCACGCCCACACTTTGTACAGTGCTGTGCGACCGTTTGGGTGTGGAGTGATAATGGGAACCTACGACCAACAAAATGGGCCGTCCATGTACATGATTGATCCGTCTGGAGTTTACCATGTATGAACATATATCGATATGTATAAATATATATGAAGCAGTGGACGCGGATATTATTTAAATTTGATAACCTATGTAAATGTTTAAATTTTAGGGATACTATGGGTGTGCTTTAGGGAAAGCCAAGCAGGCTGCGAAAACCGAAATGGAAAAGATCAACTTCAAGGATATGCCTTGTAGCCAATTGATTAAAGAAGCTGCTAAAATGTAAGCTTGATCTTGACTATTCTTATTTGTTGTTCCTTGTGGTAATCAAATATCAAATTGAACTAAAATTTTGCTTCTTTTAATGCAGCATTTATGTCGTCCATGACGAAGTCAAGGATAAAGCGTTTGAATTGGAACTCAGTTGGGTTGGGAAAGACACAAATGGGAGACATGAACGAGTTCCAGACTCAATATTTAAGGAGGCTGAAGCTTTCGCCAAAACGGCATTAGAAGAAGACTCGGATTCAGATATTGACGAGTCTTAAATTATTTACTATTTCTTCTATAAACATTTTTACACTTTTATCAGCCTAAGGTGTTGCTTTGATCCAAAATTTTGTAACGAGTATGAGTAATCAAATGTAAATCATCAAATAAATAATTTGATACTGGTTATAATATCAACTAGATGAGTTTAATGTAATAAATTTAACAAAAGTTAATTCAACTAAATCCAGCAAAAGTTAATTCAAGTAAATCTAACAAAACGGAACTTGTCAAATCGTAAGATCGACAGCATAGAAGGAGCAATAATAATTGTAGTCATAAAAAATTCAGTCGTGGTTGTGATGATGATGATGATCGTCTCCCGACCCTTTTCCTTTGCAGTCAAAGAAAGATGGTGCGAACGCTGGTGCAATGTCATGAAGCTTGGAAAATTCCACCAAGTCCCTCCGCATGGCGTAAGCGTCCTCTCCGTCCGCATAGTACTTGGGTTCAATTTCGTTGATTTTAAACTTTAGCGTATTGGTGTACAAGTTCAGCGCTGCTCTATTGCTTTTTCTCACATGAAGTGAAACGTATTTTGTATTGAAAGATTCGATCATTGCTCGGCTTGCTTGATCCATTAGTTTTTGGGCTATGCCTAACCGCCTAGAAATTATAAAAATGTCATGTAAAATATTTACTGTGTCAATTTACTGAACCATTTCACATTTTATGCTCTTGTCAATAAATATGCTTACCTATGCGACCGTTGGACTGCAAGTGACGTAATGTGACCATGCGGAACTTCTTCCGATTCCTCCTCCATTTTCGCCAATACGTATCCCACGATCCGTTTCTTGGAATCTTCAGCCACAAAACTAAGCTGAGGCCAAGAGAGGCCATGGTAAAAGTAATACTTCATCTGATAATTTTCAGGAAGGCAGAGTAAATTACAGTGCTGCATATTCATCAAGTCCTGCGGCTTGGCAGTTCGAATGGTAACCATTTTGAAAATACAGTAGTCTTCCTGAACATAGGAAATAGAAATATTAAAACTTTTACATGGGTCGCACGTCCCACTATTTCACTTCATTAAGGTATTGTAGTTTATAAAACAAACAAACTTCGCAAAACTTGCTTGTACTTACCTTTAATGTCAAAATTAGAAAGTTATTTAAGCAGTTAAGTTTTTAGAGATATTCGAATTTTTATTTTATTTTCTATTTTGGAATTCAGTGATGGTGAAACATGCATCTAAATGGAGATTCTTACTGTCCCGGACACTTGGGGTTTGATGACACCACATGCATGTCTCAAATCGCGTCTCATTCGGAGTCTCAAACTTGCTGAAATCTGCTAAAACAAGCAAAATAATACATAATTACTTAAAAATTACTATCATCATGACCATGGCGTTAATTGCAAATCCTATCAAATGCTACATGAAATAATTCATCAAACCTTGAAGAAGTGCATATAGTATGCTGAGGAATATTTGAATCTCCGGAAATTCAAATTGTGGAAGCAACGGACATGTTTATTCTGCTGTATAACTGCATGCAAATGTATGGCAGCAAGTTTGGAAACTATGCTAAATTTTAACAAATGGAAGTTAGATGCACGAATCATATATTATTTTGCGGGGTTTTATGAAGTTATTCGGTTTCTTGCCGTTGCCCTTGCCGTTCAAGATCATCTCCAATGCAATTTTGAGATGCAACTCGTCCATGTCACTAGTGCGAGATGGATAGATAATCGTCTTGACTTCTCCTTCAAACCAGACGGACGCGGATACCTTCCGTTTTTTACTCTGGGCAAATAATTCAGCTTGGAGCTAGATAAATAGTTGGACTTGGCTAATGTGCAAAAGTTTGTTGTTTTAATGAAGATGCATGAGCTTCTTGTTCAATATATATATCTAGTAAAACTAGTAGTGAGATTATAATTTTAAGAGGATTTTCGTACAATAAGCGCACTAACAATGATGATCCAAATGGAACTTAGAAATACGTGTTTGTTTCTTGAAAAAAATGTCGAGTGCCGTTAAGCAATGAGACAGATCAAATCAGGATGGAAGACAAAGGTTTGTCGCGTACTACTATTCTATTGTATACAATACTGGAATTGGCTCTGAAACTGATTTTTGTAAATTTATTGGCAAATTGACAAGTAGATTCAAACAAAGTGTCTTAGAGTGTGACAGGAATAATGGATACTTTTCTTAAATTGATAGCCACTTGTACATGTATTATCATCAAGTGAGCCAACGAACGGGGATTCCTTTTCCTTGTACATGTTGGTTTGATTGAATTTGAAATTGCAGAGAAATTTCTTATATAAACCCAATTTTCCTGTTTTCGTATGTGCTAAACGAATTATCGTGTGCAGAAGGTATGAATTTTACTTCTGCTGTCAAACTATTCACACTGTTATACATAAATATATTCTAAAGTAAGGTGCTTTAACAGGGCACTTAAATTCGTAGAATTATACAATATATTTCCTGTTGTAATAATAAATTTTTTTCGTCATTTGTTCGCTTGTCTGTAAATATCAGTTGTCATCTTTATCTCCCTCGTTTATTTTTGCTGTCCAACGCTTGTCTTAATGCCAGTTTTGAATCTCTATATTTAACCATCATTCAAATAGGAATTGCAATTTGCTAATGACTGAAATGACGCAGACAATATAGTTTTCTTGTAGATCTTGTATACCGACGAGGCAGACATGGTTGACAAAAACTGGCGGAATAAAATTGCATAAATATTCAAATATTGTAAATGATGCATGCATACGATACACGAGTTGAACCGTGTACAGCAAGTAATTATTTTTTTCTGAGAGATGCTACAAAACTTATCAGATACGGCGACGACGATGGATTTGACATTTGGCTATCCGTCAAAAAATCTGTTGTCACATTACATTGACACGTTGAATTATATAACGCATTCAGCTACACGTAGGACGGATTATCTTCCCGATATTATTAGAATAATGAGACTGAAAATGGCTTATTATATAATATCTATTATAAAATGTCATTTTGAATGTGTCACTTTATCATGAAATATCACGCAACAACCCGAGGTTGTGTCAATCTCCTTGTCCATCCATATGTGCATACATATTTCTGCAAGACTTTGATATGACCTGCATAATATTCTTGATGGTTTGAAAATGAGCCAGAGTTTGGACGTTTTTCTTATATTAATGCCCAAAGTCAATTCATCGAATCATGAACGTCACAGAATGCATTTGGATGAACATGAGATCGCATTACCGCAATGGTCCAGGACCAATTTGCGTGGTAACATCTTGTGAAAAAAATCACAAGGGAATTTAATACGGGTACAAATAAATAAGGATTTTTTGTTCTCAATATTTTATTGTCTCGTTTTTAATCGGGGTATTTTTTACGTAGAGTATGAAATGTTATGAAATGTTAATGGATTACCTTATTTCGGCACAACCCACATGCGTTCAAACCGAAAGCGAAGCCAACTTTATCCATATTTCGATACAACATATGTATGAAATGCGAGTACCAGGGTCCTTTGACTGTTTCCTTGGAGGATTTCTAGACAGGGCCATGGCAGTTCAAAAATTCTCCAAATTTTTTTTACATATTTTAAAGTTTGGGAATATGCGCTATTTTTGCTGGGAGAGTTTGGTTGTCAAGAAAAATTTAATATTCTATAAACCGTCGTAAAATGATAACGATTTAATTTAATTGCAAATTAAAATAATTATAAAATAATTGAACTAGGATCGGTATCAAAAACGGTACGTAAAAATTTTTCGCATGCATTTATGACGTTTTATAGAATATTTTATTTTTCTTGACAACCAAGTTCTCCCAGCAAAAATAGTCCATATTCTCAAACATTAAAATCTACAAAAAAAATTTTGGAGAATTTTTGAACTGACATGACCCTGTCTAGAAATCCTCCAAGGAAACAGTCAAAGGACCCTGGCGAGTACACAATGCCAAGTTGACTTAACTTTTTTGTTAAAGTGCACGTCTGCATATCCGTTTTCTCCTCATCTCTTTCCTCAGTTTGTCTATCCGTCCCAGCTAAAAAGTTTCACACCAAGCAAAAGCTATGTCAGCCTTCTGGACGACGTGTGATCTTTGGTTGGACGCTTAGATAGACAGAGAGAGACGTAGAGACGTCTTTTTTAAGAAAACCTACCTCAGTTCACTTTGTGGTGGATTCAACAGTCGTTACTTTGCTCCTGCAACTTGATCATTTCACCGCCGAGTGTACTTTTCTGCACACGCCGGGTTGAAGATCCGGTTTCCATTATTTCCCTTTGGCCATCCTAATTATTTTGCCCACTTATTATCCCCCTTTTGAGCAATTTTCTTTCTTTTCTACCTGTATAATTTTAGTGGTGTAAAGTACTATCTATATTAGTAGAACTTATCATTCAACATGAGCAGCTTTCCAGGAGTTGTCAAAGTTGACGACAAAACTGGCCGATATATTGAGGCCACAAGGGATATCAAAGCTGGTGAGCTAATAATTACGGAGGAGGCCTTGGTCACAGGTCCATCGGGCGATCCGGCGCCCCACAAGATTTGCTTGGGTTGCTACAAAGTCATCACAGGGGAACCGGTCGACTGTTCCGTCTGCAAATGGCCAATGTGCAGCGAGAAGTGTGAAAAGGTGAGATATTTCTCAACAACTTGGTTTTCTTTTTTTAGTTATGCATGATTCTGTCCATGAGTTTAGACCACTGATATACCGTTAATTATTGTAGTCTAAAAGCATTATTATGGAAAAATAATAATATGAAAACTGAAAACCTTGATGAGTTTAGCAAAACACAAAAGTTGTTTCAAGTGTCAAACACAACTTGAAAGTGTAAAATAATGCACAAACAAACAAACAAACAACGTAGAACAGATTTTCAACTTATTCAATCTGACATTTATCCGCTCTGCCTTGCTTTGCCTTGTCACATTACCTTTGGAGTTGAACGCGAACATTTTATGATCTCATCATTTCGTGCTTTATGATTTTCACATATGCTCATTGCTGCATTATGGGCGAAAGAACCTTACACGCAGCACAAGCCCGAAATATTTTGTATGGACCTAGTTTCAGAATAAGCTAAAATGTGTTTGAATTTGTAGCCTATGCATTAGGTCATATAGATTATCATACGGCACGACGTATGCATACATGCAATGAAGCCAAAGCCGTCGAAAAAGAAGAGTGGGACGAAGTATATTTTATCATCATAAAACATATCCGAGTTACTCATACATGCTCAAAACAAAAATTAGGAGGGGGTGTATTATTATGCACGAAATCTCACAATCTGTTTGCATCGAATGCCAAGAGAGGAGCAATGTAGGGCTTGCTTATACATGCGTCAGCATTTCCAACAGTGTTTCAAATCTACTCTCGTTATGTTCGGTTTTTTCTAAATCAAATAGATCTTGTCTGTTAAGCATTTGTAGCGTCGAAACGTGAGGTGTGCAAAAATTTGAACGGGAACTTTTTAGTCATCGTCGTTCATGCCTCATTATGTATATGAAAGCATACCCCCAGGAGAGTACAGAGTATCTATCGATTATCATACATAGCCAAATTTATAATTGTTACATACTAATTCAGGCGAAAGTTATTATTCACACAACCCAAAAAGAACATCTATGTAACCTATTGTTAGTATTTACATGTATTATGCTTTTTTTAATTGTGTAGATTTTACAACATGCCAAATTCGAGTGCAAAGTCTTTAAGAATGCGGGTCTCAAACCAACAACTGACCCAATGGATTATCTCGGAATTAAAGTACTCAGATGCCTTCTACTTAAAGAAGTCAGTGCCAAGAAGTACGAACAGCTCATCAAGTTGGAATCGCATCTGAAAAAAGGACCCAAAATTGCCAGTAAAGAGATATGTGAATTTATCCATAAGCGTTGCAATCAAAAAGCTTTTGACACCGGAGCGGTTAATCAAATGGCCGGGATTGTCGCCATAAATTCATTTGGAACCTCTGACCGTCTTTCTCTTGTTGATGCACCAAGGTTATTATATGTAACACTTTTTGTAGGATATTTCATACCCCTCCTTTCCCCCACTAAATATGTCTACCATCGCTGCGACAAATTCGTACAAAACTCAGCCATTTATTTATTGTCCTTCTTAGATAGAAAGAGAGACATCACGTTTTGTCAGTTTAGTTGGTCTTTTTGTACCGCTTACAAGTATACAAGCACTACATTATGGGGTTGGAGAGGGTTATACAAGATAAGAGGCATATTTTTAGAACCACTACTGGAAAAGCATTTGTGCACCGAAAATGTTTCAAGTTTTTACTGTTATGTCCTATTGCTAGTTACTAGTTACTAGTACTACTGTTATTATTATCAACTATGCACAAAGGTTTTTTTTTACTTATCCGAGCATCTTTTTCTTGTTATTTTCAAATTCGCCATTAGAGCTTTAAGTAAATGAGCAGAAATCAGTTTGGGAATTGTCTCTAAACCAATGACAAATTTTTCCTTGTCAAGACAAACTATGCTTGGAATGAAAGTTAAATGTTAAAGTAACAGACCTCGAGCCAAAGTTCTTGGTTTGTATTATTCTCACTAACTCATTCGCCCTCTTGCATCCATGTGCTGTGTGTGCATATACATTTTGTAGTCTGATTTCGTGCAAACCATTTCATTTCGTTTTCCACAGAATGGCTTCTTTACTATTTTTTAACGCCTCGATGATGTCTCATGATTGTACCCCCAATACCAGTTGGGTCCGGGTGGAGAATTCTGACAACACTTTTTCAATAAAAGTGTGGGCCACGTAAGAAAATCTCTCTCACTGAAATGTATCTTGACGATGATGTGAACAATGTAAGTGTGTTAACACTTTGTTCCACTCCGTTTATGCTGCAGCGTGCCAATAAAGAAAGGGGAGCAGATAACCACTCAATATCTCGATTTAACACGAGGAACAATTGAAAGGAGGGCTCACCTCATTGAATTATATTTATTCCCGTGTTCTTGCAAGCGATGTACCGATCCCACGGAATTGGGAACAAACTATTCTTCAGGTAGCATTATCAAACTACTCAAGTTTTAAAAACCCTTTTGCGTCTATGGCACATGATATTCATCAACATCTTTCTTTCACCTATTTCAAAATGCAAATATAGTCAAGTGCAGCAAATGCCCCCCCGGAAAAGGGTATCTCTCGTCCACGGAACCCCTCAAAGGGGCTGATGCAATGTGGTACGTAGTTTTGTTTCGATCTGGGCATTAAAACATCATATTTGTATGTACACATCTATTTAAATGTGTAATTTTAATTAGCAAAATTTCCATTTGTTTTTCCAGGCAATGCGATGTGTGTGGGGGACAACAGCTTTATCGAGAGTGCTCGGTGGGAATAGAGTGCCAAATTGTTAGCGAAATCCAACAAGCCGAGAGTGAGGAGGATCTTGAAAAAGTGTTAGAATCTCACGAGGGCGTTACCGTGCATCCTAATCACTACTTGATGATGGACGCGAGGCAGGAAATTGTCAAGAGGTTAGTTGGATGTGTAGATGCAAATGATTTAATTCTACATTTACTGCAAGGAAGGGCGTTTCTGGCACAATTTCTGGCAATCTGATTTTACAATTTGCAACGTTTTTATAGGTTATACAACACCATTGCCACCATTGCAGAAATTCCGAAACGAGTTGAACGAGCAAAAAAGATGGTTGTGTTAGTAAAATCGTTGCTTGCTGTGACTGAAAAATTTTATCCAGGAAAAAACAAGATTAAAGGTATTTTTTTAGAAAAATTTATTTTTTTTACAAAAGCCAGCCATCAAAATTGATATTTCACTCATTCTAGCCCGGTTGACCTATTACTTGCAATATGCTGAATCCTGCACGCAAGGAGATGGACCAAATGTTGAAGAACGGCTAGAAAAAATCGAGGAAATTATTCGAAAAGGAGACGAAATGCTCATTTTCGAGCCTTGAAATTGGGCTAAAGAGTTCTAACGCTAAACTTTTTTGATCTTTGCAAAAATTATGTCTATGCATATACGTATGTCTATGTATGAGTTATGAATGCTTTAAATGGATGATGTAAATAGTTCACAGACATGTTTCTAAGCATGCATGCAAATGATAATGAATGTTCGCACTAATTAAAAATTATTGGTTTATGCATTTACTATAGATTTACTTTATGATATAATGATATTTGTGGACGATGATGACTGGAGGATGGATTTAAGAAATAAAATAAATAAGTCAAATTTCGCTTTTTGCGTTTGAGATTCTGCGGACGGTGTCATTTTGAATGTCTGGGCCTTCAAACTCTCCGGCAGATTCAGTGCTATCCACCCCATCAGACGTGTTTTCTGCTGCAGAAGAAGGGACGTTTTCAGTCTTTTCTACATCTTCCAGCATTGCCATTTGATAAGCGTCCAATTCTTTCTGTAAATTGGAAATGAGAAAATCGAAGTAAGTTATGCATGTGGATAATAAATAAATTTTAAAAAACAAACTTAGGTGAAGGACGCGCTTAAAATATTAAAACAAGAAGCATTAAAAATGTCATAAATCGTTTAATATTTACTAACTTTTACTTCACCGGGGGCCCAACTAACACAGGAAAAAAGGTATACTTTCAAGGATTTGGAACAATTATACGAAATGCGTAATATGTATTTGTATATTAAACTTGCAAGATTTGAATGATTATCTTTCAATAAATCGCGACACCTCTTATAGAGGAAATTTGCTCATGTTCTGGCGTATTTTTAATAACTTCTGTAATGCTGCCCTTCATATTTAATCAAGTCGTTGGTTTAGCTACATTTATTATTGATTATCATTGCTTTGAAAATTTAACAGTTGGGCCCCCGGTGAAGTAAAAGTTAATAAATATTAAGCGATTTATGACATTTTTAATGCTTCTTGTTTTAATATTTTAAGCGCGTCCTTCACCTAAGTTTGTTTTTTAAAATTTATTTATTTAATTATTTTTAGTGATTTGTGAACTTATATGCATAAAATCATATGCAATTATAAAATCTTAAACGTTGTTAATTCTCCTGTTTGTGGACGCTTGGCATACCAATTTAATTCCGCAGTGGGTGTGGATGCGTGGCATGCCAATTTAATCCCCCAGTTTCAAAATTTTAAGGATTGTTCTGTTCTGTCAAGGATGCCTTGACACTTAGCGATCTAATAATAACGTAATTCGATTGTCTAGCAACATTGGATATGTTGAGTATTGAATAGCGATGCTGAATAAACTATCACCGCACGTTAGCAACCAGTAACTTAACACGTAAATAGGTTGCCTAATGCAAATATTTCAAAAAGCTCTAATTCCGTCAGTTTTGATCCGATTAAGTCGAACAAAGGCTTACAATTTGCGTATTATCCTGGAGAATAATAAAAATGGCAAGCCCCCGGTCGGAAACACTTCCTTGATGCCAAGAAATGGATTTGAAATTTTAGGCATCGGACTTTCTACCTGAAGGAATTAGAATTTTTGAAAAAATAAAAAAAACGTATCTATAAAACAGAATTCTCTGGTTTTTTTGTTTCAGCATGTTTTCCATGCAACGAACGGTTTGGGCGAAATCTCATTGCGACCTTTTCAAAGTTGCAGCTGATTGCATACCTAGGCTTCGCCGTAACCATGGTGATCTTTTAACATGATCACCTTATGGTTACTTTTCCTTCACCTAAGAATTAAATACGTAGGTGTCAATAATCAGCCAGACCACTTACATCGTCATCGTCATCTTTCCCCAAGACTTTGCCTTTCTCCATATCCATCCGCAAATCCAGCCGATCCTCCGAAATGATATATTCATCCTGATCTTCCAAGTAAGTCTTAAAGTCTTCAAATCGACTGTCACCCATGATGACATCTTTCCCTTCTTTGTACTGCCCCATATTCTCCTCATCACTGCTATCCAAGAAATCTTGATGGTCATCCCTTTCTGCTTCTGTTTCGTCTGGAGTTTTTGGTGACGCTTCCTACAATACAAACAATAAGTGAATAATAAGATTGTGAGTCATATGATTGTACTCTCAATAAATATAAATGAATTTTTGTCCGGCAATCTTTTTATAAACCTAAGTCACTGTTCGATCAGTATTGCATCTAATAAATATAAAATTCTTTCCCAAGTACATATGCGCATATTTTCAATTTCATATTGCTATTTTCTTAAAGATTAATTGTGTTATGGATTCGCAAAATCATAGAATCGTGAAAAGAAGAATGGTGGAGACTTTACCATCACAGGGAAGTCCAAGAGATCTGCAATAGCTTGGTGAATTTCATAAACTTTTCTTGCCATCTGAGTCATTTGAAAAACTTCTGGAGGAATTTTTGACCCTTTGGCATACAGTTTTGCCACTACGACAACTTTCTCCACCCAGCGTGTCCACATTCTTAGAGAAAATCTTCCCAGTTTGCGGAGAAGGACACAAATTGGCGAGGTGAAGTATCTTAGGCACTCTTCGGGCTTTGACTAATTCATAAAATAATTTTTAAATTGTACTTATTTAAATGTGATACGTGTTTATTAAATTCGGGAAACATAAGTTGTCAACCAACCAGAATAAGTTCCAACATCCTTGGAGGTAGCATCATATAATAGGACAGAGCGCATTCCATTGACACAGAAAATAGAAACTTGACCATTGTAACACCTTGACCTTGCACTTCCCAGTGGGGACACGATCCTAGAGTTTTTAGCGACAATCCAAAAATTCCCTTGTCCACAAAATCATTGACAAAGTCCACTTTGTGCGTCATCATTTGGCTTAATAGGATTTAAAAGAAATTGTTCATTTCCAGTTGTTGAATTCTACTTAAAAGTCATAAAATGTCAGCATGATTCAATTACTTGAGGACAAACAGAGCTCCCGCTTGGTGCATATATTGATCATAACGCAATTGTTTCAGGCGAATTTTTTCCCGTTTCTCCCTTTGTTTTTTCATATCTTGAGTAACTTCTCTGGTGGATAAACCTTTGCCTGTTTGCAAATGAGAGCGAAAAACGCTGCGGAACAATTCTCGGAGATGAATCCCTTCCGCTGCGACCATGAGGGAAGAAATGAGGTCCCCACCGTATTTGGTTTGGAGAATAACCAAGCTCAAGTTGCTCACTGATAGTGGCGACATATTACCAAAAGTAAAAATTATAAATTTATTTACACTAACTTCAGTGGCCGTGTTTTAAATCAATAAACGTACTGGAAACCAGCAGATCCGTATCCGGTGTCCTCAAATTATCCAAAATTGGTTTGATACATTTAGTTGACAGGGATGGCTTTAAGCGCTTCAATGATTGATAAATAATTAAAATGTTTGAACATACTTTTTCTGAGGAGAATATGTTTGTCATAATCATAAAATAAATAAATATGTAACTCACTATGAAACTTTGTAGTACTTTGAACGCCATTGACTGAAGCATAGGATTAAAATCGCAGGGCAAAGCATGCATAACATATCCACAAATGACCGGAATATTGGGTGGAGGTATTTCAATGCACAAGCTTTCAAAGATGTGACCACAACTTTTGATGAGTTCTTTGTTTTTGCACATTGTTAGCGAATCCACTAGCGATTCCAATACTGTGTGGACATGTAAAATTGTACATATATGTATCGACGCCGTAATTGACCCTGTTTCTACTACTACAGAAGAAATAGTACAAATTCTATATTTTGGTTACGAACAATGAGGAGTATCACAGATGAACTGTTTCACCGCATGTCCGTTACGGCCTTTCATCAGATTTAGGAGAAAGTGACAGGCCCGCAACTTATCTGTTTCGACGGATTCTTCAATGCGTACAACTTGAATGATGTAATTTAATCCTCCTAGGCGAAGAAATTCTTCAGTGTACTTATTGCTACAGGAGTTCATATGTATAATATGTTAACAAATGAACAAGTGCATCTATATCATTTGAAGTAGCGAAACTTATTAAAAAATAGGTACAAAATTTTATGTACCTTTGGAGTGATTTTGCAAAAATTCCCAAAGCGTCATAATAATGCCAAACTTTCCGATGCTTCAAAAAACAAATCTGTTGATGTAAGAAATGATTAATTAACAAATTACAACAACATACGTCAAACTTGTTACACACATAAAAATATGCTTAACCTACGTGCAGACCAACGGTGAAGCGACAAAATATCAAGCTACCTCCATTTGAAAAAGTGGCCTCAGTGTCATAAACGTGTTCCTTGGTATCATACGTATGAATGAAGTCCATTATAATTCTGTCTCTCTTCCCATACGATGACTAGAAATCCACGTTTCAATTTATTAAATATTACCAAATAAATGACCATGTCTGTCCATAAATGTTTATTAACCGATATGAAAATGACATTCAGTGTGCTGTTTACCTTATCCCAATTTTGTAAGTATTTAAATAACTCCAGCTGCGACAGTTTGGGAACCTTCCACACGATACGAGAAACGTTGCTCGTGGAGGTGCCAGGAACGGATCTTCCTACTTTGCTGCTTGGCGTGGAGCTCCGATGACCACGTTTTCCCACATGGCTACGCCTGCTTGACTGTCGAGGGGGTGCGCCACCCCCACGACTGCCGTCGTCCAATGTCGACTCTGCTCCTTTCACGTTGGATGCAGTTGAGAAAATTGATGTGGCTGTGAGGCTGGTGGCAGTGCCAGGCTGAGCTTCCGAGTCCTTGCGTCGCTGAAATAGCATGTGCCACACGTTGTTGTGCAGCATTTGACTCATGAGTTTTTCCCGTTCATCCTCCCACTGTCGATTTCGGAGGTCCCACTCAAAATCGGTTATGTGTCCCACGACATCAATTGTCTTTTCCATCTCCTGGAGAAAGTCATAGTCGGATGACCTACTTCCGCTCTCCTCACTACTCATGATTTCGCTTGTTAAGAACGATATAGCAGTTCTGATTGTTGTAGCTTAAAGGAATTTAATGCTTGTTATAAATCATGTCATTACATTAATAATATATGTTGTATAAAAATATTTGCATGCGACCAGGATTCTTCAATCACTAACGGCTACGCCGCCGGTGTTTAGAGCAAATGCTTTAATTCACCCTGGCATGCCAAGGTTGCTTGACAACTTTAGTAATAATTACAAGGTTGCGACAATTGCTTCGACGACTAAAAAACGTCAATTTTCGAAAACCCTGGTACCTTTTGGAACCAGTGTGCGCCGCACAAACTGTCGCCCAGCAACAAATCGCACAAAAATTATCAACTCACATTTCGTGCTCTCGAATTAATTTTTTAACCATGGATACAAGGATCAGCGCAGTTGTAAATGCGAAGTCGGCTATTCCGGCGTTCCAGAAAAATTTTTGTGCTTTAATTACCGTTAGCGACGGCCGCAAATAATTAGCCCGTCAAAAATTAAGGTTTTTGAGGCTCTCGAAGCAATTGTCGTAACCTTGTATTATGATAAATTGTCAAGCAATCTTGCTGGCATGCGACTTAAAAAAATATAAACCCAGACGACTATTTATCCAACGTTACTTGGATACTATTCACGAATGATAAGAAATGAAGACGCAGTCTCATATTTTTCAGTTTTGTGAAATAGGCAATAGCAGAGCAAAGAGTTGCTTCTTCTTCGGAATTCAATTTCATTATTCCAAGTCAGAATTTCTCAACACTGTAATAAATATGGGCCGAAAACGTTGCTGCAGCATACGATGCTTTGCCATGTCGCTTCAAGTTGTCATTTATATCTCAAATGCTATGATTTGGGTAAGAATAAGAAGAGTATGTAAGTGTAATTTTGTATCAATTAACTTGCCAGCATGTTACTAAAAACTGCATCATACTTATTATATTTTTAAGGTAGTGAGTATCCTGGCAGTAATATGTGGCTTTGTTATTGGAATCGCCAATGACACTATACGAGTAACTAGGCCTGAGGATTTGGGCATATCCACTCCAGCAACAATACTAATAATTTACGGATTATTTTTAATTATCGTCACAACTGCTGGCTGCTTCTCATCGATAACTGCGAGAATAATTATTTCAATTATTGTATGTTACAGAATCACTCCAAAAATATTGCAAAGGTTGTCACACTATTGGCAATTATGTATTTATCATTTGTTTCTAGTACTCGGTGCTAATCGTTTTGTACATATGCTTCGATATCTTTGGAGGATATCTTTTCCTATTTTCCGAGGACCCACTCATCAAGTTTTACAACAGCGTCAATTCCTCACTTGCGAATTATGGAGATGAGAGCAATTCTCAAGGTGTTGGAATTTTTAAAATATCAAAAGAGGACTACTGGGATCATATGCAAAGCCGTGTAAGACTCCACTGCAGATTAATTTAATAGTTTGTTTTATCACGAGCATATTTAATGTTCATGCATTTCCGTTCTATGTGTGCAGAATCTGATTCGTAATTTTATGAATGTAGGGAAAGTGTTGCGGGTTAAACTCTTTCGAAGACTGGAAAATAACAAATTATTCTCGGCGAACATACAATATTCCAGACAGTTGTTGCAATGATAACTATAATTCTCGCTTATGTGGGGAGCAAGTATTTCGACATCCAGACAGTGAATCTCACTCCATTAGAGATTTGCTACACACAACCGTATTTACATATCTCAACAAAATCACAAATAAAAATATGTTTAGTAGTTCATGCAAATAAGGATTATTTATTTGTTAGGGATGCATCCAAATATTTCCGGATCCTTTGAGGTTCCCCCAAGATTACAGGATCACTTACGTTGGGAGATGCGTGGGAACGCTTTTAATAATCTGTTTTGTTCTAACATGTGTCCTCTGGATTCTGGTTATAACTAAAGCATTCCGCATAGAGCAAGGTATTGACAACTTAGAGTACATTGAGAATCCTAAAGATGAGAACGAAGGGATAGATGAACATGGGGACGGAAGTAATAATGAGCAGAGTCATCGACGAGTGGTTCGAACAGCAAAAGTGGATCCAGAAATCATTGACCCACAAGATGCCAGCAAACGTGTCCTTTTCAAGGAGAGTGGCCCGCAATTTATTCATGATTTGGAATAAAGTATTTTTTATTCCGAAATGAGAATATGCATGCAGAATAAATACATACGACTAGTAAACAAAGAATAATGTCATAATTTAATTGATACGATCACTATCATGCACGATCTGCTTCACAAACAAATTTGTATTCTTAAAGCTTCTAAAATTTGTGATTGAAGATATTCTGTACTTATTAGCTCACCCTGCGTAGCATGAGAGCTATTGAATTCCTCTTGTCCGTCTGTCTGTCTGTCTGTCTGTCCGTCTGTTAACGAGGTTTTTGCATCAATTGATGCTATTTAAAAATCCCCTTGACCATTATTGATTATGTTAGGCGCACCATTGGTATTGAACAAACTGGATCGAATTTTTTTAGTAAATAAATAGCACAGTTGATATCTAATAATCGGTAACACAAAATGATGCGAAATAATTGGGAGAAGGGATGCAAAACGCACCAATAGTGCAAAATATCCGGGAGAAATGGTCATACAATTTTGACAAAGTTTTCAAAATTATGTATCCCGGATAATGCTGCAGTAATGGTGCAACGGCTAGCCGTTTTTGTTGCACCATGAGTGCAAGAATATATACCATTTATGATCTATTTTGCCGGCTTATTCCGCACCTTCGGTGCAAAGTTCTGTCTAATCATCATGGCAGGGTGAGCTACTTCTAACGTTACTACGGTTTATTTAGAATTGTCCAGTGGTAATTTAAAAAACAAACATGCTACATACACGTTGTGTATGTATATAGTCAGCAAAATTTTTCCCGAGATCACCATTCGGCCCCTTACAGGATGTTTGTAAATAAATCGATGTATCATTTAAAACATAAAATAATTCCTCCAGTCCTCGCTGATTGAGAACAGCTCCCATGATTGAAGCCGCATTTCTACTGCCAAACTGATCATTTTTCTTAGGTGAGGCTATGGTTACTAAAAAAATACCTAAGTAAAGGTGCGTTTATGCTTTCTGATTAATTGTAGCGATCTCTAAGAGAATTGATAACCGACGGGTTTTTAGTTCCCGTCCGCGTTACATTAGCGTCGCCATAGCGTTCGCTATGCAATTCGCCATGCGGGTTTATGCATTATTTCCTCCTTCATTTCACGGCACCTTCACGATCACCATGAAAGTTGAACTCTTTTCAACTTTTGCACGCACGAAGGAGAGAGGAAATTTTTAGAAATCACGATAATTTTATAAATATTTACGATTTTTGAATCAAAATTTTACAAAATGACCACAAAAGTGATATCTGCGCCCAAATCTCCACTGGATTTGGAAGAAAAGTTAATTCTTCTGGTTCAGCAACGTCCTGCACTGTACGACAAAAAGGATCATGCATACAAAAACAGAAACACTCGTGCATTGATGTGGGAGGAGATTGGAAAAATCCTTCTAAAGACAGGTCAGTTTACTGCAGAGTCAAAATTCTCACTTCCATGAGTTCTAAACATTTAATTTTTCAGAAACTGAGTGTCAGCAACTTTGGACAAAATTGCGCAGCCAATTCAGCGGATTCCTACGAAAATTGCGCAATCCAAGTGGAAAGGAAGACAAGCCGCGTGCTTTTTTCCGGCACGAGGGATCAATGCGGTTCATCCGTGACACTGTTGACCCGGATGAAAGGTAATAATAGTGTATATAGGTGCTTTTGCATTGATTGATGAGTAGCTTAAATAATTTTTACTTATAAAACCATCATTATAAATAGTACTGTCTCCAACCTTGTGAACGAAGATGATTCATCTTTTGTGGAAATGTGTGGACCGGGGTCAGAGATCCAGATTGAAGTGGTTGACGTGGACAAACTCCCCGACGGTTTTAATCCACTATCAACTGAAGAGCTGACAACGACAACCTCTGCACTTGTACCACGGTCACAACCAGCTCTAGCTTCGAAGGTATTAGGGCAACAAGAATCTTTTTATTTAGAGGACATTCATATGTAATATTTATTGTTTTGTTTTAATTTGCAGAAACGAAAATTGGATGCATTTGACAAGGAGATGTTGGATTTGCTCAAATCAAACGACGATGAGCACGACAGCTTTGGAAAAATGCTGGCCCCTAAGCTGCGGAGAATTGCAGAATTGGACAGAAAAGTATTCCTCAATCTTCAGCGTAAAATTAATGATGCAGTGCTTGATGCAGAGATAGAAATTCTTGCTTAATTATTCATCTTTCACGTAATCTTAAAATTTTAAAAATGTCGGCTTGTTGTTTATTTAACGGTTGCAATAATAAAAATTTTACTTTGAGAATGATGACAAATAATTACAAATGAGAATTGATTAACAAAGGCAAAGTATATCAAATGATGCACTTTTACAGATAAATTACGAAATTCTTGACATTTGCCATGAAACACTTCCCTCATTACTATTAAAGTATTCTAAAAATCTGTCCCGTACAACTACTGCTTCTTGACGCCGGTTATTGCTGCCCTGTTGTCGCAAAGAGATCATTCCCGTGTCCCCAGTGGTAGTCTCCCTCCAGTTTCCCGTGGTGTTCCCATCATCTGAATCCGCGGTGATCGTATTCATGTCCTGCTTATCGATGAGGAAATTATGGAGAATTACAGCGGCTTGAATTACGAGCCTGGTTAAATCAAGTGATGCAACTATTGGCGTATGAAAGATTCTCCATCTTGCAGCTAACATCCCGAACGCATTCTCCGACACATTTCTTGCTCGAGAGAGTCGGTAATTGTAAATCCGGCGCTCCAGAGTGAGAAATTTTCCTGGGAATGGCTTCATCATGTACGGTTTCAAGGCAAACGCATCATCAGCGACGATAACATGAGGCTGGAGGTGAGGTCCAACTATCTTTGCCTCTGGTAGCCCCAGCTTTCCATTTTCAAGTCTCCTCCCAATTTCGGACCTTCCAAAAACGCCTCCATCTGACTGCGAACCCGATGCTCCAATATCCACTGCAGAAAATTTGTATTGGTGGTCGACGACAGCCGTGAGCACAATTGAGAAAAATCCTTTATAGTTGTGGTATGTGGACCCTGTAAAATTTGGGGCTTGGATTCTGCAATGCTTCCCGTCCACAGCGCCCACACAATTTGGAAAATTCCACCGAGTTCGGAAGCCAATCTCATTGTTTATCCATTGATCTGTTGTTGGTGGTGGTAGGTGAATGGGCCCGAAGATTTTCACAATTGCTTTCAAAACTTCGCGTAGAATCTTCGAAACTGAGGAAGGCGAGATTCTATAACTGAAGGAGAGAGATATTTGGGAAGCTCCTGTAGCAAGAAATCTAGTAAAAAGAGAAGTCATTTTCACGTACCACTGAATTATATTTAATTATGACTAATTACCTTAAAGTTATCCCAAGCTTTTCTTCGACAGAAATTGGTCGGCTATGGGTCATTTTCCCTGTAATTTCCCCACTAATCAGCATCAAAATCTGGTCAAAGTTTTCCATATTCATCCTGTAAAATGTATTGCAAGTTTGATATATTGAGAAGAATAGCTATGCATGATCATTTTACCGAAAATAACGGTGATGATAATGAGGATCTTCACGCAATTCTTTCATCAGAACGCTGTCCCCCTGGTCCACTCGATTCCAGAAAATTGGCCGAATTGCAGCACCTCGCACCTTTCGCTTCAGTTTTCGTCGAAGTTTCCGGAGGATCATGATTTTGGCAATTAAACGTCGATCGGGGGCCGGCATAATGATTTTAATGAGATTATGAAATGACTATGATTTTTACGGATTTTTACTTTCCTTTCGATGACCGATAGCAAAAACGAGCGTTGAGAGAAAGCGATCGTAAAAACTACAGAAAGTGTAAACCCGTTATGAAGGAAGGAACGCTAACGCTATGGCGACGTTATGTAACGAGGACGTTAAGCATAAACCATACTTAAGCATTCACTTGGGTTCTGAAAAGTGACCACAGCCCATAACTTTATCATTTCTCAACCGATTTTGATCAAATAAAAACCCAGAGTCAATTATGATCATGAAGAATCTAATTCTCAGCTGCCATGCATGAACTCTTTTTATTTTGTGTTCAATCGTTAAAAAACCACTTCCATGACAACATTTTGCCTTATTATACAGGAGTGAAGCATTTAACAGAAAATGTGCGTGGATGAAAATGTGAGAAATATTTTAATCTTTCATTTAAAATTATAATCATCAAAATCGGTTGAGAAATGAAAAAGTTTTCCCTTTGACGAAAAATGCACCTTTGGGTTCAGGGCCGGCGCTGACGGAAACGGAAGGGGTCAGGTCGCCTAGCAATTGAAAAGCTTTGATCCAAATTGTTAAAGGGTGCAGGTGTAAATATCATGTAAAATGTCTTAACCCATGCCTGGGTTAAGACATTTTACATGTCATTTTGCAAAGACTAAATGACACGAGGTTGTTTACTTATAACGAACCCTTGGTTATACAACCGCGTGTCATTTAGTTTTTGCAAAATTTGGCACCCGTCACATAATTTTCATAATCATAAATTTTGCGAACAAATTTTCAACACCGATTTCAAATATTTGAACCTTCGTTACTCATTCATCACGATATTACCAATTAAAAGCTAAAAATAAACTAAACCCTAAAAAGGATTGCTTAGGTGAGACTAGGCTGTGCGATTAAAAGAATGAAATAACCCCTCCTCCTCCCACCCCGGGGAGAAAGTGTTGGTAAAAGAAGCATCACCGCCCTGGGAATAATTTCGTCACGTTTAAATAATTTCGCCTCCAAATATCATGGAATGGGTCTGTATTAAGTCAATTCTAACAGTTTACTAATATGCATTTACTAGTTGTGTCGGTAGAATGAATGACCATTGGTGCCTGTTGATTTTTCGTTAATAGTGTACTATAATATTATTGATGGCAAGTTTGCTCAATAATTAAAATAAGACGTGGGTTGGGGCTTATTTCACTTTGAATGCGTGATCAAGAAACAGATAATCGGACATTGTTGGGGTATGTTGATGTAAAATTGCAACAATCCCTTCTATTATATTTCCAGTGCAAAAATTTGCACTATTCAGAAATTATTCCCAGGGTGGTGATGATTATTTTACCAACACTTTCTCCCCGGGGTGGGAGGAGGAGGGGTTATTTCATTCTTTTAACCGCACAGCCTAGTCTCACCTAAGCAATCCTTTTTAGGGTTTAGTTTATGAAGAAGAAATGATGATGAAATCCTCCCCAAGATTATTTGACACTTTATCAATAAGGTTACGCCAAATGTCCGAGTTACAAAATGAAATTTCATTTTAAAATTGTCGTGGGTTACAATTTATTTTTTAAATATTTTTGCTTGAGATTTGGTTTTTTCGCCCATGGGAGAAAAACCAATTTTCAAAATAATGGTTTTTTTTGCAACTCGACCATTTGTCGCAACCGTTAAGGGAGAAGCGTTACCTAGATACTTAAAGTCAAGCAATCGTGAATCCTCCCCACAAAGGCGATACGCGGTGCCATGGTGACTCAGCGTGCTTTGTGGGTATAATGACAAAAAATTACCACGTTTAATTTTAATTTAATTCTGGTGAATGTGTGCGGTGTTAAAATTTGTCGAATCTGCTCCCGCAACAAATTTTGTAATTTTTGTATCGGTTTATCGTAAGTAAGAGTTAATAATAGTATTTGATCACAATGAAGTATGTTTAAATCATATTTATCTTAAATTAGTCTATTTGTTTAGCTGCCTTACTTTTACTGAAAAAGCTGAAACATTGGACGAGACAAAATCTGAATTGATCAATAATTGATCAATAATTGACTAATTATTAGTCAATTATGGAATCATCCCCTCATGTTATCCAAGTTATGGGCAATTGTATTTCCCTCTTGGTAAGAAAATCGATATTCTTGGAAATATGTAAATACATACATGCATTTTATTTTAAAATTGTATACAGTTTGCGTGCATTTACATATTTTGCAGGTAACGGATATTTTGGTCTATGGAGTTTTGGTTCCAGTCCTTGGAGCTTTTTGTGGAAGTGCAGCGGCTCGAATGTTGGATGCCGAAGGTCCATTTGAAATCTACCTCGTCATCCTCGGAGTTTGTGGAATGTTCTTTTGTACTTTCACCATTTTCCGTTGGATGAACGTAGAACCGAGATTTTGGAAGCATCTCTTCGCACAGGACAAGGGATACTACTCGATTCTGATGGTTGCACATAATTGTTGCACAATTACATAGAGTTACATGTGTATTAATTAATAATACCTTTTTCCCATTCAGTTGCGAGATGCAGTCAACGTTTTCACGTTATTCTCCAGCATTCAGCTATTTTACAAGTCGATATTGGGCATGTCTCAATTTCAGCAGAATATGACAAAGGATTCGAACCTTGGCGAAGGAATTGGCTTTGTATTCTGGAATGGATTAGGTGAATGGAATTTCCCAGTCCCCAACTCGATCAAACAACGGTACACTTGGACACTGGAAACGGATAAATCGCGATTCTTTGATTGGGGGATTAACGCCTCAATTGAAGAAGAAAGACTTAAAATGAACCACATGGTGAACACAGCTAAACTTGTTCTTGCAATTGCGTTCCTTACGGCATCCGTTCTGAAACTGAGCTACTTTTCCGTCCTTCACACCTACCTGAGAGCTATGACGATTTTCACAACGATGCAGGACTCCTCACCTCCCAACAGTCGAGGTAGGTTATTGGGTAGAGACGCGAAAATCACCACAATAGACATGTGCGAGTATGAGAGTTAATAATTTGCAGAATTTGTGAGTTCTAAGGGTTTCTTTTGTTGTCACATGCAGGAGGAGCGAGTATGGCAAGCGTGGTATCGGAGTATGTCTCCGATTCAGCGTTTCATATGAACCCCATGAAGACCAAGTCACCTCCTTCCAAGACCGAAGTCATTAAGCCACAGAAAGCTGCATGAATTTTGAAATAAATTTTTGACGCAGTTCCAAAATTCTAAATTTATGATTATGCTAAACATATACATGTTTGATTAACAGAAATGAAAAAAAATGTGGATTTTACTTTTACAATATAAATTCTTGTTGAACATGAATGTATTTATTTAATGATTTGGTACGTGAGATTGGGAATAGCTGCCCATAATGGCTGAGTGAGATACTTGTACGTAAAAGTAATGAGGAGTTCGATATTAATAAATTGACTATGGTATTCAGTTCATTTGGCTGGTTTGGGACACGTGTAAAATCTTAGAGAATTTCACAAACCTTTTAAAATGTCATTGCAATTATCAAATATATTAAATACTTATGTATAAAATCATAAAATAGTATGATGTCCGTTATTGTTAATAGTAGTATGTTTTTTAATACTTAACATCTATTCTTATGATTATATGTAAACTTATGTGTATCGTAGACCTTCAAATGTGGATAATGTATTGGTATTATCCGAGTATTAATATCACAGACTTTCATAGCAGAAGCTGTATTGCAAATGCATGAATTTGAACTTATGGAACGGGAACAATTTGTTTTCATAACGTGTTTATCGTCATCTCCTTTTACTTGATGCCGGCGATGCTGCTGTTGGGTCGATCTCCATGCAGGAGCACCTCCGAACTTTCTCAATTCTTACACGCTTTTTCCTATCCCGATTTTTTCCACAAGTCAAAATGACCGTCTTCCAACTAGACCGCGATGGTTTGCAGACAGGGAACGAACTGAACAGTCCAGGGACCCAAACCGACACGCACTGTCCGAAGCACATTTTGTTCATTACGGTCAAAGGTTCGCAGCCATCTCTTTTGATGACTTGAGAGTATTTTTGAGTTCTGCAGCAACTCCGTTTCTTCTTGTTGCTCTCTCCACTTGAATTGGGGGTCAAATTGCTGGAGGTGTCAAGCTCATCGTCCGATGAAGATGTAAATATCATCTTTGAAGGGAGAACCACTTCTCCACCTCCTGACATTCCGGAAAATGAGGACGAAGAAATCGGTTGTTGTTGGCTTTGGGAGTGATGATGACGATGTCTACTACTGGCACCTTTCCCACTATTGGCTCTTTCTTGATTACTGTTTAGCATATTCCAACTTAGCCGGGACACTTCCTTCAAGTCTAAGTTAGAATTTTCACTAGTGTGCACTTCAGAAGAAGATAATTCTTCATACTGATAAGTATCCGATTCCATGTCCTCACTTTCCTCGATGTCATCGTCTATTTGACTAATATCACTAGATGACAGAGAACCACTGCCCACCAAACCTTCCCCGTTTTTTCTATCACCAACAACAATGGAAGAAGAAGATGAGACCACTTCTGAATGACTAAGTCTGCTTAACACAACAGCTATAAGAGAACCGACGGAAATGGACACAATTATAGCAGCAATTATTAATACTATCAATTGCTTTGTAGTGGCCACTACTGACATGCAGCAACAAGGTCTCCATCCGTGGTGGTGGTGACTGCCCGAGGAGGATGATGAGCTACCTTTGGTACGAATCCAGGCTTGAGAAGATGGTGCAAGCTTCTGGGGAGGATGTCGAATTGTTCCTTTATTCTTCGACTTTGGCTTTTCGACATTTGTGTCCTGAGTCCACCGAGTTTTTTCATCTAAACCTTCAATGACCACGTCGTGAGAGGTAGAGAGGGGGGAAACGGGTGAAAATTCATCAGAAGAACAGGACGAGGAGACGGAGGTGAGTGTTGTGCATGCCGAAATTGAAGAGTTTGACTCTTCTGAAGGGTAGTGTCGCCTTGTTTTACTTTTAGGATGGTCTAGTCGATAGGCGCGATGTTTGTTGAGGTTATTTGTCATTCGATGGGGCTGGTCCTGGAGGAGATCCGGCTCTTGAATCTTCTTCATTGAGGTTATCGTCACCATCTGAAATAAACATTAGGGAAATCAGCACTCGTACACACGATATGTTTTTGGGTTGAATGATATGTGAATAGTCGCATTGTTCATGTATTTCATGATTTTCATGGTAAATATAAATAGTATATGCATATAAATAAATATAGGAGCTACATGGGCAAATGCACATCTCTTGATGGTGACAGAACTTGTGTCACAGGAGCGAAGATGCCAATTAGTTGTGGAGATTAAGGAATTTATGACGAATTTTGACACATGAGAAACAGAAAAATCATAAAGTTTTAGAGTACAAGTTGGCTCCTCGAAACCCAGTTCCTGAGAATTTCATACACAATGGAACGGGATAACCCCGCATTCCTCAGTTGAATCACATTTCACATTCCATTCGTATTTAGGTATATTTACAGGCGTGAAATGAAAAGCGTTATGGATTTCACGATTCAACAAACTCCGACACAATTGACAATTGTGTTCACTGTCCATTTCTAGAACATTTCTTCAGATTATGAAAATATGACAAGGTGGAACATTCAGAAATGTTGTCTTATTCTGTAGCCCAACGTTTTCCTTGTTCAAAGTTCAGAATGTTAGAGCATGTGTTGGAGAGCAAAGTTCGGGATCCGTGCTTTCAAAAAAGTTGTTACAATAAGAAGAATAACATTTTATATTTTTAGCAAGATTATCGGACAATGAGATGGATCAGACAATACGTGCGGGGCCAGAATTGGGATCAGAAATTGATAACAATGCAAGAAATAGTTGAGTGAGAAGAAATACAATTCACTCCACACACCTGCTGCTGGTCACATCGCATCGTTTTGCTGTACTGACTGAATGAACTGAGGAGGGGAGCTTGCGAGGTTGATAATAACAGATCTTGATGCCCTTTGGATATGTGGTAGGGTCCTATGAGTGTACTAAAACCCTGAAGTGGTTTGACTCCATGGCCACATTTGCGCCCGCCACACCCACTCAAAAATGCCCAAAAAACGCTTTCACTCCAGTTTTCACTCACTCAAATCCACGTCAAAAATCCAATTTTACTCGGATTTTGAAATTTCTTTCATCATTACACTCCCAGATAGTTGCTTTCTTCAATCCAATATCAAACCCAATTTTTCGAAATTTTTAGTATTTTTAAAATTTGAAATTCTGAATGAGGATTGTTGTAGTAATCAACAACTCAAATTACGCCTGCGAAATAATCATCAGCAAAATTGAGTTTGATATGGAATTGAAGAAAGCAACTATCTGGGAGCGTAATGGTGAAAGAAATTTCAAAATCCGAGTAAAATTGGATTTCTGGCGTGGATTTGAGTGAGTGAAAACTGGAGTGAAAGCGTTTTTTGGGCATTTTTGAGTGGGTGTGGCGGGCGCAAATGTGGCCATGGAGTCAAACCACTTCAGGGTTTTAGTACACTCATGAGACCCTATCACATATCCAAAGGGCATCGAGATCTGTTATTATCAACCTCGCAAGCTCCCCTCCTGAGAATTTCCTCTCGGCGTGGCTTAAATGTGCTCCCTGAATTGATGTCAGGTATGAAGAGCCAACCAGTCTGCTCTGGTCGGATAATAATATTAGTAATAATATACTGGCCTATTGACAGCACAGAAGTAAGAATGGTATTTAAGAAGCTCCTAAAGTAGACAAGAATCTAAAGCAGTATCAACGTATGCTAGTCATCCATGTCATAAAAAATGTGTGCCTTTGGCTTGAAACTTATAGATAAATATATTAGTGGCACTTATTGCATGTCCATAGTTAGTGATATCTTATTGATAAAGCAAACTCACTGCCACAGAATGTACACAATTGCATACAAGTAATTGTACATATGAGATGATTCACTTACGTATTAACCTAACATCACTTTATAAGTGTAAAAAAATAAACTATGAAAACGTGATAGACGAATGTCTTTCATATGCATCCTAGAATCGCTATTGCCTCGTATTTGTATTCACCAATTTATAGCAACTTTTGTTTTACTTTGGAACGCGCTCTTAAAGTTTATCATGGTAAAAAAAGCAGTATCTAGTTCATCTAATAAACTGCCAAATAATAACTTTCAGTAACATCTATTAAGTTATGGTCAACTAGTAGACAACAACTTGACCATACTAATATCACTACAATAAATATGTGTATGCACATAAATATTAGATAACAAAATCAATGTACAGATCTGTAGTCTAGCACATGCATATGCACTTATTAGTAGGACATGACGAATGCATATTTAGTTTAATTTGGTGTAATTTAAATTGCTAGCGCTGGTCAGTTTTATATGTATTACGTTTCGAGTTATTACCAGTTTTTACATATAAGTTTATTACCCCGGTGTCTTTACAATTGGTAGACTCGCTTGAGACAATGAATGAAGTTGGCAATCATTCAACAGTAATTGATGGTAGAAATAATTGTTGAGAAAAAGACAACAAAACGATTCCTTGTTCGTCGTAATTGTCAAGGGCTATGCACTGATGCCAGACGTAGATGGAATTCATGTAGGCATTTGTGTAATGTGTACACATATACATAACATACATTCATGCATTCATTGGAGATGTGATTTGTATTTCCTTATATTGTAAATGCATACTAGTTTCAAGGTATTATTCCAAATAATTGGTTGTCTATCAATTTCTGCAGTTGAACAGTCACTGCAACCCATCCAGCACAATTTTAAAACTCGGTTATAAAAATTCATAATTTACTTGAGCATGTGTCACAGGCATAGAGCACAGGTCGTCAGATAAAGCCATTTTTATCAGTCAGTAGACAAGAGCTTCTATGTATGTATACTACATATTCCCCACCTCAAGCTACAAAATGTCACCTTCAAGGTTAAAACGGACAACCTCAATTGCAGCCCGTGTATTGCTATGCATATTACATTCTCTCGAGCCTGCAACCGCACCTCTGTTGAGGAATAACAACTGTTATCATACAAATGTAATATAGTGAATTTATTGAAACGAAATGTACACGGATAGAATTTCTCACTTCCATTCATTACAAATCTCTTGTAGCTTGAAAAGTGTCTTATTAGTGAATTGAAATGGATGAGCACCACCACCATCATGAACACCATCTTCTCATTTTGTCCCGAGACATTTCGATAACCTGCGGATGAATTATGGCAAGTCAACAACGCCAACATCATTTTTTAAGCTTTATTGCAATTCGTCTCTGAATGAATATTCCATTTTAAAGTCCATAATCCAGTGCATTTTCACCCATCCATCCATGCAGAGGTGGACATACATACATAGACGTGCACATAATGGTAACTGGTTTACTACAGCATACAATATATGGTTGATGTCCACTATCCACATACACATATATGTACGTACATACATACATGCATACCAATCCTGGTCGATTCCACACATTTTGACCTTTATGCAAATTGCGTTTCCATCTGCCAAGCCAACGCTTTTTTCTCAATGGACCAATTCAAGTTCATATTACTGTGAAGTCCAGCTATGGATGTGCTTTGCGCAATTTTTGTGTGATTTTTCTCATTCTTAGCGAAACAATAGCGAGATTATGCTGTATTCGTTTGCTAGATACCATTTTAATAAGTTGTGCATATGATTTTATTTATTTAAGGTCCAATATCATCTTAAACCACATGCATAAACAAACCTACTTATGTTATGTATAATAATAATAATAATGGCGATTCCAACCCAAATAGCCGATGTCCGTCTTAACAACAAAGTACGGAATAAAATAGAATTTGAATGAAAGAATATAGTGAAATAATAACAAGCAAACCTACCCTTTATCATCATCCACCCATACCTTAGCTAACTTGACTTTTGGCAAACTTGGTGTGCTGTAAACAGACTATAATTTACGGCTTGAAAATACAACGTGCTGAACTTGTATGGATATTAAGTAGAGGTTGGGCCTGTCCGGTCAGCCAGGTAAGTAAATTGCAAAATGCTAAAGGCAGCCGAGAGTTGAGCCAACAACAAAAAACTATCCACCATTTCTACACATGTATTCTTCGTTCAACTTAATTTCATATTCTTAATTCATCATGCAGCACTATTATATTTGTCTATGTCATTTTGTTCATTCAGCCACATTATACATGTTATGGCCGCTACAATCTTCTGGCCGACGTCATCGGTTAATTGTTGAGAAAAGCTGTTTGCCATAGGTGGTGGAAGTCAAGTGCCAATTCAGCCGTGTGCATACATATGTATGTCGCACACATATCGGTTTTATGCATACACTATTTATACATAAATAGATATGAGATATTTTGAACAACATGCCTGGTAAATTTCACAAGAATCATCGTAAAATTCAATTTACTGATCTACTAAACTAGAAGTATCATTCATGGATGAATATTTAAGTATTTCTGTAAGTTGAATGTCTGCCTATCGAAGCAAGATGACCAGACATATGTATCTGCATGAGAGTTTAGTAAGTCAAGCGACAAATTAAAGTGACTTCAACTGTGGCATCACAAATCACTTTTTTATTCCACGTATATGTATGCATCTATGCATATGAGCAGACGTACTTATAATAAATAGATCGCAGTAATAATACATTAAAATGATAATATGTCCAAACCCAATCAAAATGAGCATTACAAATTCGCAACTACATGCATAAAATCACTCAAAAACTTCACAATCAACAACGTTTTAAACTTGAGCAAGTAAATTTGTAATAATTAAGATGATCAGACAGACAAGAAAGCAATTAATCAGAGTAATACGATCTTAGCTGGGTTGCTAGTTGATATTTTTAAACATAACTTTTCACTTTATATCTATTTTATAACCGGCTAATACTTGAAACATGATGAAGCTGATGAGCACTTGAACATCAATAAAGCTCGAGGTCTCCTCATCAAGTGTTGAATCAACATGAAAGCTGCAGAGAGAAGAGGTGCTACTAAAATTGGTGTTTATTTGTTCATAAGCAGTTGATAAAAGTTATTGTGCTTCCATATTACACGGTATTAAAGTGTATTTAGTAGAAGATAGTTCCTCGGCCATTATTCAAATGTTGGGTTAGCAGCGTGCACGCAATCGGCCAACGCAAGTAAAATTCATGATGAAAGCCACTGTTGTTTGAATGTGTGGGTAGTTCTACTCGGATATCAGGCGAAGTGATGAATTAGTACACGTGTTTCAATTTTTATTTATTTTGCACGCTAATCAAGAAACAAACTTACAGTCGACATGCGCAACAACAATCAACTTATTATTACACCAATGTATTTAAATATGCATCTCGTTTTGCATTTTATGTTGTCAGTTATGTAGTATCAACACAAATATGTAATCAGTACAAACAATTGTGCAATGAATGTTGTGGAGGGAACCACAGCTGCGAAAATATTAATTTGCTGCTACTTCAATTTTAATGTGTCATTTGATCAGGTTGTTTTGTTGTTTTTTAGTATGTAACAAATACATATTCGTAGTAGGCATATTATATGTATGATGTCTCATATTATTTATGTATGTATCATCAGAATATGACCGGTAACTATTTTTGTCTAATAACGCTGGTTGGTGGTGTCCAACAGACATACATACAATTGAAGTTGTTCCGTAAACCAATCCCATTAGGGTTAATAACCCGATTGCACATTAATTGACAACATTTTATGATCGAATACATTATGCATTGCCGGACTGAAAAACTCATTATTTTAGCCAAATCAAGACTTAAGATTTTGAAGATAAGAAAATGGAAAAGTTGAGTGTATTAAAAGACAAATGTTTAATTTTTCTGTTATACATATATTTCACTCTTGTTTCCACTTCCAATGGTTTTGCTTGGCTCCACTAATATTCATATTTACATACAGGGTGGTTTAAATGTCACGCAACAATGGAAAATTTTTCAATGGGAAAAATCCTTAAATCCCCATTAGTTACAAGATTTTGGATTAAGATTTTTATAATCATTATCAAAACTGATGGAAAACTGATGACGAAATTCTTAAAACATTGAATTTTAGAGACAAAATTTCGGTAACTAATGGAAATTTACAAATTTTTCCCATTGAAAAGTTTTCCATTGTAGCGTGACATTTTAACCACCCTGTATATGTACCTTTAATAGTGTTGCCAAACAGAGTACAGAAACAGATAGAATTAAATGCATTCATTTATTTTAACGTGTCGGTGTTTACAGGTTGCTCATATTATAAATAACCATAATAAGTAAATAAATTTGCAGTTAACTTGAGCAAATACTTGTAAGACGGAGGATATACATATTCTTCACATTATGCCAAATCCTGATAATTATCCTACGAAACTAAAATGCCTTATGTGGAGGCTGGCTGGCAACAATTTACTCCCACAAGCACATACAAGCAGATTTTCAACTTTAATGTCGATGGTGTCGTATTTATCATTCGTGCATCCATAGTCTATTCATTGCATGATTATATTTGAGTTAATCAATAGGGGAGCTCTTTTATTTGCCCATGCTGTGGAATATTTACTACGAATTATACTAGCTGTGGTCTTATTATAATCTTCATGCAATCACGTCAGAGTTGGGATAAGTACGTAACAAGAAAGAGAATAATAATAAGATCGAATTTGCTTACAATTTTTGCATTGAAAGATGTGTCATGTGTGGTCCATCCACTATTTAAACGAACGAACGAACGAGCTATGTGTGTAGCAAATGGCAAGAAGATTGGGATAAAACTACGCCAATGTTTCAGATTGAGTTCATCGCAACTTGGAGGAAGAATTGTGATGATGAATGATTATTTGGGCTCTCACTACAACATATAGCTTTGTTGACTCTGTTTGTCTTTGTCTCTCCTCGCGAAGAGAGTTTGATGCAATTTTGCAGCGAGATGCCCAATGTTCTGTTATTTTACACGGCTGTTGTGGAACTACGATGTAGTCGCAACAATTGAGACGATAGGAGAGACACGATAATCTTGCTGCTGCTGAAAAAGGATTTTGTGGTGGTTTATTTGGCAGACGAGCACCGCAACCACAACTAGTTAAGTCAGTTAAGTGATCAGGGCGAGACCAAGCCAAAAGCCAAAATGACAAATTATTATACTTCTTGTCTAATATGGCGCCGTTGCAATTGACACTTCTTCTTCTTCTCGTAACCTTTTTTCATTTGACTGGCTGATATCAAGAGACGTGTCCATGTCTCACAACAGTGTCTCCTTCCTTTTTCACACACACACAGAAGCCTCACTTTTGCATGGCCAACTCTTGCCCAGTTTAATAAATATGTAAATCACTCCTTATTTATTGATTGTATTCAATGTTATTCATATGAACACACACACACACACGTTACAGGTTCACGAGGGAGCGACGCCGCACTGGCAATTACAAGTTTCATACCAAGAAGAGCTGAATTATTGTTAGAGGAGAATGAACACTCGGCTCGTAAGTAACGCAACAATAACTAATGTGGTATTTGTTGTCGTTGTTCTTATCAATAATTTGAAAAGTCTCTGTATCAGTTTGACAACAGTTCAACAAAAATGGATCAAATCAATGTGAAGTGGTTGTGGAGTCCGACAGGACGGCAACAGCCAGCAACATATCAATCAAAACAGCCAAATCTGTGATATGATTGTGCACAATGTCCAAGTTGTGTTACGTATCTTTAAAATGTTACTTAATCTGCTATAACTCTGCTCCTTCATTACATTCGAAAGAGCATCAGCAGCATTTTGGGTGGATGGCTTCCTCCTCCCATTTAGTGTGAAAGAGGGTGAGATTTATAGGAACTTGCACTCACGCGTTGCAGTAATCGGTTGGTAGTATTTAGCTGATCAGATTGCAAGTACGTGAACCGTAACATACGAGTGGCAAACAAAACTGCATATATCACATATCGTAGTAGTCGTAGTAAATCCGCAGATCTGTAAATACAACAAACACGCTGTATGAATTGTGATACCACTTTTTCTCTGAATTTCTACTACTCACTTTTTATAGCTTTTGCAAGCGTTTAACACACTTTTTCTTTTATAAATCGATGCGGTGTGTGAAATATTTTTTTTCACTCGTTATTCCCGGTTAATAAGGGTTCAAATGTAAAATGAGAGAATTTTTTGTATAAGGGTTCGTCTGCCGGTTATGTATGGAACATTTGCCTCCTCGTCGAGAGGTTGCTTATTGGGTTGTTGTTAACAAGTCCGCTGTGAAACCTTTACTGAGGATGGAAAACAGAAACCTGAGGATTATACAAGACGAAGAAGAAGACTCGCTTCCCAAAACCACCAAAAGCTCTCTTACATACGTACACGCTATTAGTGTGTAGTCTGTTTTCACGATTGAATAGAATGGAAGAGCAACTTGGTCAATGCAATAATAGCACAAAATGTACATTAAATACTCACTACTGCTACTACTCTTTGATTCCATACAATATAATGCATAATGCTGTGTGCTACACTTTATTCCATGTGTGTGTATTCTGGTTGCCTTGATATTATGTATGACTGGGTTGCTCTTTTACCAAATAAATTGAAATTATAGTGTCAGTGCATGCTAAATGGTTGGTTTGTGAGATTTGATTAAGTTGAATGGTTAAATTTGATGAGGAAACTTGCTTGGGCGAAGACTTGTCTTTGACTTGATAAACATTATGTTCCATCCCTCCAAGCATATATCCAGCGTGCATAGCCTGCTTCTGGTATCCAATATAAGTAAATGCTGCAGAGTGATGATTATTGCTTTGTTTGTGAATCAGTCTATATGTGGCGATGATGCTGATGATTTCTCCTCCTTACTGGACTGAGTGAGGTGAGGTGTTGTATTTAATACTAATAAAGCTCATTCAGGTAGAAATAGTATAAGCAGTGGAAAATCTATCTATCTATCAATTGACGAACATAAACTTCAAGCCCAACATTTTAATAGATGTTCAATTACACGTCTGCATTGAGATTATGTATGCAGCTAAGGCAGTTCGGGGGTATTTTACTTCCACACGTTTATCTCTGCTGAGCGTACACAATATTGTATTGAACACCCTTTCACATTACATAAATTGTTCATTATGCTTGTTTTGATTGTACATTGTATGTTACAGGCATTTAATAATTCATTTTAAGCAATTAAGAGCTCTTAACCAGGTTAGGAACCATCTTTGATATATTTTAAAAAATAGACCGTTTGGAGGTTAAGAAGCATGTACATACATAAATGATTTCGAGTATTTGTTTCCACAATTTGCGGGACCAAATATGTGTAGAAGTAAAGGTAAAAATGCGCAATAAATAGTCGTTAAAAAGAGTACATGTCAACAACTATGTATTCACAATTACCGTTTAATTCTGAGAGAAATAAATCTGCAATTAATGTGAATGTAAGAATTAAGACTATATTTTTTCAAATAAATTTAGGGAATTGCAACCCTGCTCATTTTTAGTCTACAGGCGCCTAATGAGTATAAGCACAAAAAACACTTAAATATACAGATATTATGTTTATGCATCCATTAAATTTATTAACTAGGTTTTGAAACCCGATTAAGCTTAACGGTCCCATAATGTGAAATTGTGATTATTTCTTACATTTTGTATATACAAGAAGGAAAAAATGATTATTCTTCGTTGCAAAGAGATGAGACAATCCAAGTGTTGCACTGCACTTATGGTTAATGTCATCAATTGAGCTGTGGCATGACTACTGCTTAAAAAATTGTTGCTTCTCCTTCCGTAATGCTAAGCAGATTTTGAGAAGGGTTATGTTTCTATAAATCTACTCTTGAAAAACGTGATTATGGCCAATTCTAACCTAGTTCTTCATACATATACGTGTACATAATATACATATAATTACGGATAATTTCGCAGTTATGAAGATGGATTTCCCTACCAAGGTCCCAGTGGGCACATGATTGGTGCGAGGCAAAAATCGGGTCTTTAGATCTGGGACGTGCAATAGTATTGAACCATTTATATTGAGATTGTACATGAATTCCGGGTATCAGGAAATAAGTTTTCGTCTCAAATTTCTCACCATATATTGCACTAACCAGAAGCAAGGGATGAATGTTGTTTGCTATCTGGACATATTTCCCTGTCGTTCAATTTTAAGATTTCCTCTCGGCAATAATCTCTGAGCTGATCTTAAATCTAAACAAATGCTACAAATTGAATACAAACGAGATGAACAACAACAACAATTACACCGTCGCCTGTCCTCTTGTCCTTCTCTCTGATTTCATCGTCTGGTCACTGGTTAATATTTAGTTGTTTCTCTGCAGTATTTTCTGTCTCTCGTCTTCGTCAAACTCGACAACATTGCTTTCATGTTCATGTACAATTCCATTAAGCAAAGTGATGAATGCAATCTGGCATCCATCCGATTTTAGTTCGTATGTATGTACATATTAAATTTTCATTATAGATGTATTCTAGAACAGTAGGAAGTAAATATTATGTATGTCTTTCTATAACGATATTTAAAGATTACATTTTCACAGGAAATTTAAAAAAAATTGAAAATCAATCGAGTTGTAGTATATACAAACGTATTTCATTTTGTTTGCAAAATTATTATACCAGGTATGAGTTGGTGACAGTAGTAATTATTTTGATTTCTCATCACCATATAGACAAACTGCCTATACGACAGACAGACTATGATCCATTTCACCTCCCTCCCTCCTAGATTTAAAGGTTACCGTAAACTTGACGTACAGCATTCGTTTACATGTCAGGCACTTGGGAAAGTTTAGACCACGCTTTTATGCGTCCCTATCCTCTATCACGGGATCAAGGTAAAAGAGCCGTGGCACAAACTGCTTACACACGTATGTGGCAATAGATGAAATATCTTTGAAAATATGATCATGGGCAGCAGCCAGAGTACAAAAAAATCAACCCAAAGCCATCCTTCATTTCCTATATTGATATTTGCTTAGGTTCGTTAAAGTTGTTGGTTTTTAAAGAAAAAAGATTTATAATGTTCTGTGGTTAAGTTGTGGCATTATTGTTCCTTTTCTTTTTCGGGCTGACTGGCACCGATCCCTTGGCCAAGCTTCTTGGTATGGCTTTCCTCTTCATCAAACAGTCTACAAAAAACTTACGGACTTTACGGTAGTTCAACAGCGAGTGTATGCATGCGTAGTCTTGTGGTTATTAGTAAAATAATAATAAAATAATGATAACTTGTGGAGGTGCATAGTGTGTAAATGAGGTAAATAAGTTAGTGCGTGGCTATGCTGGTTGGAGATAAGTACATTTTTCGAGACGTCTGTGCTGTGGGAAACGAAAGGGTCACAGTTTTATTGTTGACTAGGTCTGCAGGAGTGGTACAAGGTCTAATGAGGTGACATAAGTTGTTTTGTCCATATCCAACTTTGCTACTATGTCTTGACTATTTATGTACAGCCAGGGATAGCTAATTAAACTTCGAGTTAAAGGTCAACTGAGCCAGTGGTCTAAATGGTCTATGATTGATGGATGCACACTAGGAATCTACATTTCAGACGCCTAGATAATCAGTACTTGCTAAATACATAATTTCTGTTTCATGTATTCCAAGAAATAATGCAATTACTCTTTTGGGATTTTGTCATCCAAAAAATGAATAATCTAGTTGCACTGGAATATTATACAGCATAATATTATATAATATTATATGTTCAAGATAATTATAATCTTCAAGATTTGTTCCTTTCAAGATTTGGTTTACTATCATAAAACACTTTCCCTTGGTTCTAAATAAATACGGCTTGTTTTCCTTTTCTGAGATTAATTAGCATCAAAATCCAAATAGAATTGTAAGAAATAAAATCAAGTTGACCTTTGTTGGAAATCCGCACCTGGTCAAATACTTATTTTGTTTAAATAATTATAAACATTCTCACACCGCTAGACCGACAATAAATTCGTCACAGCGGAACATACTCATAAAATATCTTTTGATGATTTGAATGATAAATTTGTTAACATGATGCGGTGATTCTGTTGGCGGAGATTCTTTCAAAGAAATGTTTGCGGTAAGAGATTAAGACCACGATAAAAATGAAAGATTAATTCTTGTGTGCTGAGAAGTATAGAAACTTTGTAAATTGAACGTTATTAATAAAATATAAAGTTGTTAATATTTCTTCGTACTTATCATATTTGTATATTTCTTTAGTTTCAAGGTAAAAGTGAGATTATCATTGCAAACGTAGATGCGTGCACACAAAATATAAACCGTAACATATAAAATCGTATACCTAAGTTTGAATCAAACTGCTGAAGGCTACATGAAATTGGTTATAAGTGCATAATGTGTAGCTTGGAATTATTACTTCATGTAGAATTTGTTACCTTTCATTGCAAGAATTTTAATCGGCCAAATTTTCCGATGCAATTAAGATAAGAAAGTATAAAATTCTAATCTTCCGTTTTAAGGACAATTCAAGATAGTGATCGAATCTCAAATGTGAACCTTTCACTAATCAATCGACTTTGATGTGAGTGTAGAGTGCTGGTAATTCTTAATATGCACATGCACGCATAGGACGTCCGTACATAGCAGAATATATTTTGCCACAGGGCATAGAAATATATATGTGCCGGGGTGAATCTGATATTATAATTTTGTTCCGAAGCCCAATTTGATGAAATTTGTGATTTAGCTGAGTGAGTGTCGGGAAATGTTTCAAACTATTAATTAACGGAGTGTGTTTACAAGTTTGGATGCTTTATCATTAAGACCGAATGGTTATATGGTACACTTTATAAGAACAGCATTTTTCCTCGCATTATCTGTAATACTGTGGCTGTGGCTTGTGTTTTGCTTTAGGGCAATTTATAATTTCAGGTCTCGTGGTCACATTACGAGCCAGATTGTGCCTAAAGCAATATACTTTCTCAGAAATCCAAAAATTCTGAAGTTTCACCTTAAAGTTCTTCTCAACCATTCATAGTACACAGTAGTCTATGTACATACACTTCCAGGCAAGTTATGCGAATTCATCATATATCTCACCCAGCCCCAAATATGTAACGTCCTTAGTCATGAGAGAGTTACGAGCTGCCTATTTAATATGAGAATAGAAGATTAGAAATCATTATTATTTGTCATTGGTATATGAAAATCATTATTATTTATAATATGCGAAATTGCACCAATAAAAATAGCGAGTGTATAGGATGGCTAGTTGTCAGGAAGAAGACACACGATGAGTAAAAAGCTACAGGTTTTTGTCCTCAATTTGTTTGCTAGGTTGGCTCCTTCCTTCCCAAGGAGACGACGGAGATAAGATATTATACACGGCAATAACAATGCGAAAGTGTCAGGTGATACTTTCAGATTTTGACAGGACAGTTCGACTTGTTAGAATCATTAAGTACCCTTTTTCCAGAATGCATAAGTTGTAAGATTTACAGATCTTCATAACTTTAAGAATTCTGGTGCGATTAATTTATAATGTCGAATTTTGAGCAAAGATGTTTATAAATTTTTGAAATCACT